ATATTCTAAAGAACTCTGCCAAAGTGCTCACAGTCTGAAAGGTGTATGTGTGCAGAGATACAAAGGGCCTCATTTTTTGGAGGCTCAGTGACGGGTATCCTCTGTTTGCAATGTTTTATAAAAAAAAAAAAAAATCATAATATTTGTTATTTTAATACAGTTCATCATTTGACTTTGTAAGTTCTATTTCAACTGGCCAAGAACCAAAGATGTAAAACAAGAAGTAAAATTTAAAAGCATAGGAAATAAGCTTCATTTCAGATTTTATTACTGATAGAGTTTTTAGACTTTTGTAGGTTAACGTGGAATAATATGCTTTTAAAATAACTGTTTCTACATAAATGTTTGGGACTCCTACACAATATTTGATAGCCATTCCTTTTGGCTAATTTATGAGGAAGTCCTACTACTGAATAGCTTGAACAATGTAACAGCCAGATGGTTTTTGATAAAACATTAATGAGACCAGATGGTTTGTAATAAGCTATAACGGAAAAAGACTTTTGAGACATGCGAGAAACATTATCTATTCCTAAGTCTTCATTTATTGTTATTGTAAAAGAAATAAAGTTCTGTGGCAACCACCTAATCTACAATTTAAAGTTAGAAGCAATTAGTTCATGCAGCTTCATGCAAATTGTCCTCTGGATTATCATTGGACACATCACTAGATGACTCCTTAGGTAACCACAATCTATTAGACGTGATCCTAGCCTACCCTTTCTGGAAAATTTCTTAAAATCATGGGAAAATCGTAAAATAATCACCAGGTTTTCATAGGTACATCTTTAGAAAGTTACAGCTCCCCTGAAACACTGTCACCGCAAGGGCTAAGACAGCTTTTACAGTGACAGCGGGGGAGCCCTGTGCCACAACACACGTGCTACTGGAAGGTGGATGTGCCACCACTCCCTGCCAACATCAACGCTCAGGGCACCAGGATCCGAGTGAGTTACAGCAAACAAGCTCCGCTGAGTTCTGCTGAACACATCTGCCTCCTCCTGCACCTCCCTGGGGCGCTCGCCAGTTGTCCTTCCAAGGGACTGAGAGATCCAGAAGTGAAACCTTTTTTTCCTTATATTGGTCCCTAAAGGTCTCGGAGATGAACCTGACAATAAAAGACAGCGTCTAAATAGCGGCCAAACTCATCTCACAAGCAAAGTCTTCGGATGGTTAAAGATGTCACCTTCCCCTCGCCACTGTCAAGAGCCAAATGGACAGCGGCTCACATAAACGGGTTGGGAAACGCAGCAGAATGGCTTTTTGGCTGCTTTCAACTCGCACAGTCCCTCCTGCCTTGCTGGACCCTCCCACTGGTGTCCCCTCAGCCCACCCGCAGTGACTGGCTGGTGGCTAAGCCTGCCACTAGCCGCTGGCACCGCGGCAGGGCTGATGGCAGCCGGGCCAGCGGGGGAGCGACAAAGCTGTTGTTTGCAACAGGAAATGTTTCGGAGAACTGAATGGTATAGGGGAAAACTCCAGAGCATCCCGCCAAAACAGGAGATGAATTTTAATGTGAAATACAAATGAGGCTGGTTAGTTCATTTGAAAGAAAAAAAAGAAACAAACAAAACATGCAGTTCAGATCTTTTATTCTCGAAAAAGGAAACTGGGGGGACAGGGGGAGGAGGGGAAGAAGTTAATTCTTTTGCCGGTGATTTAGCTTAAGTTGCTGGACACCTCTAAAAAGATTTGCTACCCCAAGTGTCCTTCTTTTCTAAATAGAAGCCCAAAGTAATTTCACACTTTCTTCCCATTTCCTCTACAGAACTGAAGCCAGGAGACCCTTCTCCAGCCAGTGTGAGGGTTTAAAAAAAGCCTAGCACGCAGCAACAGAGCGCTCTGGACAACCTCCTGACACGTCAGTATACAGGCTGAATTTCAGTGAGTGCTCTCTAGCCAGGCTGGATGCAGCCTGAAACAACTCATTGATGGCTACAAGGCACTAAATACCATTAGTACTGCTGTTAATACTGAATCTATGAAAGCATTTAGAAAAGTTTTTAAGATAGAGACAAAAAAAAAAAAAAAGCCATTTAAGAAATTCCCCTTTGCAGCCAATTTTGGACTTAGTCCTAATGTCAATGATTTAAAAAAAAAAAAAAAAAAAAAAAGGCCAGATTATGCCATCATACAAAAAACAAACAAACCAACCCAGCACTAACGCCAAGCGCTTATAGGATGCAAAGACCTTTTCTGTACCTGGCAGGAATAACCATTCTGCAATGCTGACATCTTGTGGTGGCCTGCTCAATAGTTTCTTAATATCACACCTGAGCGCACAGAGGTGTTCAAAGAGCATACAACTACTGTGTTGGGGTTTTTTTTCCTCTCAGACTACTATCTTTTGTGTTATTACTCGCTTGTTATGTGCCTTACTCATTTTTTTAGGTTGCGGCTGTGAAGTTCTCACGTTGATTGTCTCGTTCATCTGAGGTAGCCAGATCTTGTCCCATACCAAAAGCAGTTTGTCCCAGCGGCAAAAGTTTCTGGTTTTCTCCTTCTGCTCTCTCTGCAAGAGGATCTTCTCGTGCAGGAGTAATGCAGAAGGATCTTCTAATGCAGAAGTGATGCCCTTCCTGCTTCAGCTCAGGAGATGGAGCGCGGGGCAGAGGGATCGCAGCTCAGACCACGCTCACAATATGTATTTCTCTAATACGTTCTCCCTCCTGGCATCCCGGTCAGTCATGAAGTAACTGCGTGCTGTGAGTGTTGGCTGTGCAGCACACCTGAGGAGCATTTCCACAAAGACTGAAGGCTTTGATCCTAAATGTCTCCTGTTTGCAGCCAGTTTTAATAAGTCTCTACGTTGATTGCTGCGTAGCCCCAAAACAGTTTGCTAAACCCCAGACCGATGTTTCTGTCTCTTCTACTTAATGAGAAGCATCTAAAAACTATCCTACATTGGCTTGTGTCTTTCAAGCAGATAGAAGATTTCTGCTCAAAGGTTTCTCTTGGACAGATGAAAATATTCCTGGTGTGGGCACCCTTTATTCAGTGTGCACGTAGGCACTGGCAATGTCCTTAAAATGACTAGGAAGTTTCACTGGTTTTACTTGTGTCCTCCCTCGCTAGTGAATATTTCCATGGTAATGTGGTTCAGTACAACTTCCTGGCTTGATTTCTCAGAATATGCTTTAGCAGACACTTGCATTTGAAATGAATCACACCTTGCCGCTCCCTGGAAAAACACATGATGGCTGATGAAATCTGTGCTATTACTGGCCACTGTGGGAGATTATCACCGGAGCTAGCGATTCTGCATCTCGGTGCCACTCCTGAAAAGAGATATCCTGAGGATGTGTGGGTGATTTTCTCAGGATGAGGCTTTAAGAATGGAGCTTTGTATATTTTTTTTTATTAGTCCATAAAAAGTAAATTATCACAAATGCAGATACTTAGTTCCATTCAGGCTATTTGTTCAAATTTCTGTAAGCAGGTGCAACCCCAGAAGGGAAATCTATTTATCGTTGATTCACTAAGGATGTCACCTGGGGGAATCAGAAAGGGGTGATGGATTTAAAATCTGCTGAAATTAATTGGAAGTTTTGGATAATGTATGTAGTTAAACAGAATGGAAGAAATGGATGCAACTTTAGCTAGATGCATTAACAATTACCTCTCACCCAGGACTGTTGATTTAGTGACATGCAACTTTCAACTTCCCTTTGTTCCAAAGCCCATGTGTTACTCCACTAAGATCTGGTGATGTGACACTCGTGACACTCGTGACTATACCCTGCAGCCTCAAATGCTCTCTCTTCAAACCACAAGGGAAGTACCTGGCCTGTGGCATGTTTCACTTGAGGAAGATTTCTTTGATGTTTATTACCTTGCAAAACTACTCTCACACTATCAGTCCTTTGGTATCATAAACAGCCAAGTTGTTTTATTCTGGTGTTGTATTGTTTTCAGCAGGCAGAGATACAGCCATGGAGCTCGGTATTTCATACCGTGGTTCACGAAGCTGCCCCCTTCGCTCCGCTGACCACATTTCTCATTTTTCACACTGCTGCTGTTCAAGGTCCCTGGACGGGGGGACCTTGGCTTGGAAGCTCCCGTTCGGCCCACCGTGACTTCGCCAGGCCAACAGTGCCAAGCCCAACGCTGCAAACCCGCAGCCAAAAACGTGGCAGGGCTCTTGCTTCCAGCACACTGAGGCCACCGACCCTCCTCTGCATTTCTGACCACGGGTGATCTGAACCAGATTTGAGAGGGCATCACTGAAGTTCCCTTTTTATTCGTGTCTGCCAGGCAATTGCCAGTCGGGAAAAGCAGCCGCCACTGTTATTTGAGGGGAAGTAACCACGCAAAGCGCCTGCCCCAGCCCTTGGCCGAGCTGACGGGAACAATCAAGCCCCCCACCTCCGCCCCTCGCAGGGCCGCCCCCTCACCGACCTCCCGCTGCCCGCCTGTGCCAGACAGCTGCCCCCAGGCCGCCGCCCCCTGGGTGCCGCTACCCCGTGTGTCAGGGTTTCCAACCCCCGAGGAAGATGAGGCAGGCGGGAAGGAGGGAGGGATGGCGGAGGAAGGCGCAACCCGGCCCAGCGGGCGGGTGCCGGGGCGGCGGCCCCGCGCGCCAACATGGCGGCGGCGGCGCCTCAACGAGCGCCCCGGGGCGCGGCAACCGCGCCCTCCCCGGGCGGGGCTGGGGCTCCTCCCGCCTCGTCCGCGCTGCCACCAAACCCCGCTCTGCGCTGCGGGGGGAGCCTCGCCCTCGGCACCTCGCCTCGGGGTGCGGCGCGGCGCGGCGCGGCACGCCCCGCGGGCGGAGCTCGCCGCATCCTCGGGGCCCGGCGGCGGGGATCGCCGCGAAAGCCGTGAGTAGGGGAGCGGGCCCGAAGGGGCGGCGGGGGCCGGCTGTGCCCGCTTCCCCCGCGGAGGGCCGCTGCCGCCGCTCTCCCCGTGCCGGCGGGCCGAGCCCCCCCGCGCCCCGACGGCTGGCCGGGGGCGGCGGCGGCGGCGCCTCGGCGCGCCGTGCGCCCACCGCCCGACCTCGTCCCACCCTGAGGAGGAGCCGCCGCGGCCGCCTCGCTGGCTGCCGGCGCTCCGCTCGCCTTCCCCGCCTGCCGGCGTGCGCCCTCCGGCTTGGCGGGGCGGGGGGAGAAGGAGGCCGGCTGCGGTTCGAGCGGGAGCGCCTGAGGGGGGTCCCCGCGCTCGGGCGCCCACCGGCGCCACCTCAGCGCAGGGCTTGGTGGGGCGGGCGCTGGTTTTCTCGCCGAGGGCAGGGGCAGCTTGGGCCCGCTCCCCAAGCGCGCAGCTCCCGCCGCGGGCCCTGGCTCCTCGGCCTGGCAGGGCGGCAGCCGCCAGCCCCGGTTCGGGCGCTGCGGGCCCTGAGCTGCCGCGGCCGTGGGCGGCCTCGGGTCTTAGGAGGCATGTGCCGTCGAGCCCTCGAGGCGCAGAAGCGGGCTACGTCCTCGGCTAAAATTGATCAGATGTGTTTTCGGGTGCCACGTGCGTTCAAGGACTGAAATTTGTTGCATTCAACATCCCTGCTAGGCTTTGCGTATTCGCTCTTATGGCGGTTTTAAAATGTAAGTCATCTAGAAAGGAGGTGAAAACAACTGAGGTTTTGTGATAACACACATGTCCTGCTTGTGCTTCCACACTTCAGTTGCATTTCGGCATAAGCTCTGACTTCATTAGGATTCAAAGCCCGTTGCCGCTGCTGCACAGCAGAGTTAAGGCCAAACAGCTCTTGCCACACCACGGCTCCTGCGTGGTCATCTTTGGCCTTCAGGGGTTGTGTTGCCTTTACAACTTGGATTGGCAAGGGATGTGTTGACATTTGGTGATCCAGTTATCCTCTTCCCAGATTTCCTGTGTACTGTGCCTGGTCTGCTGGGTAATCTTAAGTTAAATGAACAAAAAAAAAAACAACTTTTTTTGTGTGTTTTTTGTAAAGGTCAGTGTATGTCTATACAGAATGTAAGAAATACCTGGCAACTGTTGAGAATTTGCTTTTGTGTTGAAAAAGGTAAACACATTATTCATGAAATGTTTCTTTCGATCTGATGACCCACTATATTGAGCTAGGGAGCTGTGATAAAGGACAGAAGCGGGGGTAAGATTTGCTTGTTTAAGTAAACAATGAAGTTGCTGTAAATATCTTCACTTGATCTCATCCCCTTTGTTGGTCAATCCTGTAGCCCAGGTTAAGGCTGATTTTAAATTTCTTGGTAGACATGGAAGGTACTCCCTATTTTCTGCTTTCGTGCCTAGCTATCAATCTGCAAGAGTGAATTGATTCTGACAGACTTTTCCTACCAGCTTTGATACCTCCTCTTTTAATTCTACCAAACCAAGCACAGCTCTAACAAAATTTCCAGAGGAAGAAAGTCTAAAGGCAGAGTTTTCTTAGTGTTTGTCTGTAACTGCTCCATGTCCATTCAGTCAGAATGACATCAGTCCTGGTAGCTGTATTAACTGCCTGATGTTGGCTAAGGGCATATTCAATTGCTCTGTATCTTTGTTTTGTGAACTAGTGAAACAACGTATTTGGGTGCATTTTATAATTTGTATTAAAGGTACTATATCCAAAGAGACACAAACAGGAATTTGGATAGAGTATTCTTGCTTTACAGGTACAGCTGCACTAGCAAATATGCTCCCTGCAAAGACATTCCCAGCACAGCTAAGTGTGGGAGACGCTGATGTTGTCATTCTGAGGTCAAAACCAGTCACATCTCTCCTGCCTGGTGAGTCTCAGCAGCCTTCCTAAGTGCTCGGAGGTCTTCCCTGGATGTTCTTTTTGCTAGTCAAAAGTGTGGTGACTGGTACAAACCACTATGAATCAGAAGTTTTAGAGAATGTTGTTAATGGCTCTTCTCATGAGATTTAGTGAGTGTGTAACAATGCCAAATCATAGGAAGTGGTTTTTGAAATTTGTCTCATCATAAACTCCTCAGAAATTGGTGGGCCATTTTCTTTTCAGAGACTGTGCCTGTGTGAGTTGGTTATAGTAGGAACGGCATCAGAATGGAGTGAACAGTCATGTAAAGCACAGAAAAGTTTGAAGAAGGTTATGCTGGGGAAGAGCAGCTAATGCAGGCAATGAGAATTTTCTTGATGGTCCCCCCCTGTTACAAGTCAGTCATCTGGTTGGTTGTGAAATACAGTGTCATGGAAAAGAAATCCCAGGGAAAAAGAAAACTTTGGGAGGGGGGGCACTGTGAGGGCGTGGGTTGGTTGGTTTGTTTGCATCATTTTTTCTGCTGCAGTGGAGCTGCGTTGCTTATTCTGTTAAAGTGTTCTCAATGAGATTAAAACCAGGGAAATTCAGGAGGAAAAATTTAAGAATGAAAAAAATCAGTCTCAATTCAGAGTTTAGGAAAAGGTCAGAGAACAAGAAAGGTAGTGGAAATATTCCCAGTGCATATAGCTGGGGCTGTGCTGCAGCTGCAATTACAATGAAAGTCCCAGAAGACTCTTCAGTAAAATGTTATGTGACTTTGACATGGTTCAGATCTTTTCCATTCAGTTGTTGTTGGAAAACACCATTTACTTTCTTACACAGAGAACTAAGAGTAGGGCATAGGGGTTTCATGAGGAGTTAGATACCTCAACATGAATTGGTAAATACTGTGTGAAATATCTGAAATGGGATTTGGAAAGAGCTAGTGGAAAGGTAAGTTCTCACCTGCAAAAAGACTTCTTTTACTTTGTCCTGCAACTGATGCTATCACATGGAGCCTGTGGTCCAAACACTAATATCTTACTCAGTTTTCCATTTTCTCTCAATTATCCTGTGTGCCCACTGCAATATCAGTTTTTGTTTCAAGTCTGTTCTAATTTATTTTGGTCTGTATTTGTAAATGACAACTCTAATGCAGAGCAAAACAGGTAATTAATTATGAGGGTGTGGATACCCATCTAAGACATCTTATGATCTTCGTTGAACTTTCCAGTCGGTGTCAGCTGGGGGATACAGAGGAACACTACCAACTTAAAAAAAACTGATTTAATTCTGGAAATATCATTAGATCAAATAATACAGAGTTGAAAAACTAAAGAAGATTAAATTCTTTTAAAAAGATCAAAAATGAGTTCGTTAGAATTGTGCGTTTAGCACTTCTGAATGGTCAGTTTGACCTTTTCTCCTGTGAGTTTAGCCACTTTCCCTTAGTGAAAAAGTTCCTTGTAAATACAGCAAAATGCATTGCTTGAGATAAAGAAAACTACACAATAAGAGATGCCACTATTTTTTAATTTAAGACATTTAAAAGCTGGAATAAGATAATGTGTGTAGCTGTTTAGCAGATACAAATAACAGTTACAAATAACATATGCTCAATTTAGCTGTAGTAATGCTAATGGAAAATAGAAAATTGGAAAACATTGAAGGTAAAAAGGTTCAGAAAGAAAAAAAATTAATTGGGACTTTCCAGGGGCATAGTCTAGAAACAAAACTTAGTCACAAAGATGTCAGCACAAATATTTGTTACTTTTTATGGAATAATTATTATCCTTATATGTGTTTACACACTGTTAAAAAGATCAAGATAATTTGTGTGAATAATACCCAGTTACCTTTTATGGAGTAAGATAATTTTATGTTAGGTAATAAAAGAAGGATTCTGGAGGGAGGCCGAAATCCTCTGCCATTGTACCACTGCTCTCCTCATCCCAGCCAGCCTCTGCGGGGTGCTCATTAGGAGATGCATTTTCTTAGAATTTCAGGTAAGCTCTGCAAGTTTTTTCCCTCCTAGCAGATAAATTACCTGTGAGTGTTCCTTGAAGGAACTTTTCAGCTGTAGATCGGAATACTTATTTTCTCACGCATTTATTTTCTTTCTTTGTTATCTGCAAGATAATAAATTTCATGCATTATTGTCGTAACGTTTAAGCCTTGCATATTGTGTTGGCAGAGCATTGTTCTTTACTTATGCAGTGTTGCTTGTTTAAAATTTTAACTCAAATTCTTTTGTCTGTTACTGTGAACACTTTTTTACTTTGGGATAAATGGTTTTAAACTGTCATGATACCCAGCACAGAGTGGGGAAGATGAGGTGAAAACACTAGCTGTTCCTGCATTAATACCGATATGATGAAGAACTTCTTAAAGTGACAATGTAAATATTTATCCTTTCCAACTGTAGTTGTTGAAAAACCGATGTATTCTTTCAGGCTTTAATTGATTCCCCAAGATGTTTGCAAAAGCAACAAAGAATTTTGTGAAAGAAACTGACAGTGGAGGTGACTTGATCCCTGTCTCCCACTTAAACGCCTCAGATAAGCTGCAGCTTCTGAGCTTAGTTACGAAGAGGAAGAGATTCTGGTGCTGGCAGAAGCCCAAGTATCATTTCTTGACAGTTACCCTGAGTGATGTGCTTACTGAAGACAAACCGATAAAACCAGGTAAAGCCGTACTCGGGCAGCACTATTACTGTAGATAAAAAGAATGCAAAGTCTCTTCTTTTTTGTTACTATTCTCTATTGTGTTACCAGAGGGATCCTTTCAGAGGAATGCTCTGAAGTATTCTCCATCCATGGAAATGAGATGACCATTTAACTAAAACTACTAATAATAAATGTTTATTTAACAAAAAAAAAAAAAGTTTTGCCTGGATAAACTACTGAAATTGACTGCTGAAGGTTATCAAGCTGTACAGTCCTACTGTTTAACAGCAGTGCTGTCTGCTGCCACAGGAGCTCCCCTAGAATATTTTCTGGAGATTCCAGTATGTGATAGTAGCGTGAAACTATACTGTGCTCCAGGTCAAAAAGCACTGGATAAGCAGTGTTTTGTTGGTGACAGTAGCCCAGGGAATGCTTGCACAGGCAAGACCAAGCAAGTTTTACCACTGCTTCCTTTCTTCTTGCACAGACTGTTAAAAATGGTTGACCCTTATACTTCTTTCTTCATCCAGCTGCAGCATTCCTAACCAGGTTTTAGGATTAACAATTTGGAATCTCATATTTCTGGGCATGTCACAATTCAGGAAAATAGATAAATCCCTAAGTTTAGATGTCAATTGTAGCTGGCTTGGAAGATTAACTGGTTCTGAGTCAGTTGTTTGGTTTATAGGTATCTAAGAGTCAGAGTTGTTTTAAGCCAATTAGGTCCTTCCATTAGATCTCAGTGAGCTTTGGGACAACTGTGCAATGAGATATGTCAAGATAATGGCAAAATATTAACCCTATTGTACAAGCAGGTCTGCTCTGTAGTTTGTAGCTGAACTAAGTTTCAATAATTTTTTTATAAATCTTCCATAGGATCTGAGCTTAGCATTTCAGATACCTTACATTTTCCTAACATGGCAAAATATAAAAGATAGCAGAGCGAAGATGATGAAAATAGGGAGAAGCAGAATTATGAGTTGCAGAGCTATAAATTCCATTATTTACCTGCTAGATACTGCTCCTTGCCTTCGCTAACTTGTCATATTTTCTGTAAGTTTCTCTTCTCCCAGTCATTTCAGGACTGTTTCAGCACTTCTTTTCACAGATGGACATTACTTTTATTGCTTTCCTAGTAATTGTGGAGTCTGACTTTGCAAAATACATGGGGAAGTTTGAAGATTTTGTTCAAGGAAGTATTGAAACTTCATTTGGAAAGATCAGCCTGGGAGCTGGAGGGAAGGGCTATGTGGAAAACCAGTCCTCATTTGGAAACCTGAGGAAGCAGGAGATTGACTTGCAGCAGCTTATGAAAGATGTCAAGGACAGGTATGTTTTTAATGTGGACATTGTAAGGGCCAGAAAAATTAGGGAGCTGAAAAGACTTGGGCCAGCTGTGATCACTGAACAGTTGCTTTTGTAGTGTTGCCATAGTTTGAGTATTTTTTTTTTTTATTGTAAGATCTCATTTTTCAGGTGATTAAATCATATATACAAAAAAGAAAATTTCCAGATTTTGAAAGCTTCATGGTCAGACATTTCCCTTTAGTTTTAAAAACTTCTCTCTGCAATTTCATCTTGCATGTTTGCATCAGCTACCACGTGGAGCAAAAGCCAAATCCTCATTTCTTTGGGGGACTGTACTGAGGTAACAATCTGGGAAAAAAAATGGATTGGTTTCTCTTTGTCACTGGGGTAAATGCTGTGGAAACTGAATTCAGAGCTACTAATGTTCTTGTACGCAGGATTTATAATTTTGTGTGTGTGTGTGTGTGAGCGACTGTGCTAGAAAGTTTGATTATTTGAAGTTAAAGGAATAGCAAAGATGAACAAGCATGGTCATGCATGTTGTACTAGATGAAAAAAATCTAGTTTATAGATCATTTGCTCACTGTTACATACTGTAATAGCTGAGGGGGACTGTGATCTTAATTTTACAAGATATGCAACACTTCCTGTCCTACTCTGAAATTGAATTTATTTAATCTTGCAATAAGACAGTCATGGACCAAAGCCTACGTGGCAACTAGCTGACAAGTCAGGGGTCTACTCTGTATTGCAGGTCCTGACTCATGGGAGATGAGGGTGGTTTGTTTGTGACAGTATTGTACCCTAGATCTGTGGCAGGTGGTGTAATGCATTTTAATAGCCTTTGCTGATGCTCAGAAGATAAAGATGATAGATTTTTATCAGTTCAGAAATTGTCAGAAGCAGTGTAAATTTGCTTTAGACACACTGATGTTCTAGAAAGAATTCATTCTCCATTTTCACAGGAACAAATGGCTGCTTTTGTTTTTATCGCGAGCATTTACAAGTCAACAAAATTATTCCAGTAAGACATCTTGCTATCTTTGTGCTACATGCCTTATTGAAAGCAGAAAGTACTGTACTAAAAGTGTGTACCAGGCCTATCAAATTAGTATGCATCCAGTATCAGGAAAATAGTGTTAGTCAAGATTCAGAATCTTGTTTCTAACACTAGATAGAGTCCTACAGAAAAACAAGCTAGAGTAACTTCTGTGTAGATCAGGAAGTTTTTACTCAGTTTTCTGCAGTAAGTTACCTTCTCTTTTCAAATAAATAAACTTCCCATAGTGAATCAGATATACTTCACCACGTTTTGGAGTTATAATCCTGAATGTAACTAAATAGTTAGAAATACTTTTTCTTCTTTAGAGTGTGGAAACTCTCAGTAGCTCTGCATGGGTCTGAATATAACTCTAAATGAGGTTAATGTGTGTGCCACGAGTGTCTGGTTCTTAGTTCATAGAAAAGATGCTCGTAGCTTATTAAGGCTTATGATGCAAAGCGTATAATTGATATCAAGTCAGTCTCGCTTCTGCCAGGTCACTGAAAATTGTGAGGATAGCAGAATTGTAATTTTTTTTTTTTCTTCAGCATAATGCCAGGGCTCACCGGGAATTGTGGCAATGCCTTACAAATCATGTTCCGGTTACTCATTCAGAAATATTCTGTGATTTATGGTGGATTGTGTCCAAGCTTCTAGCTTTCGTCTCATTCATGGAGCTTTGCGTGGAGTTCAGAAATTCAGCATTCAGGAGTGCTGGTGCAGACCCCGTTAGTGGATTTTGGATGCAAAGCATTGTGGTACTAAGACGATGTTTACCCATCATTCCTTGTGAGATGAGAGTCAGCTAAGTGTTCTTGATTTCTTATAAGGATACATGTTGCTTGTGCTTGTTTGATCAATTATTGTTTTGTTTATTATTTCTACATATATAGCTTAATTGAGTTGCATTTTAAAATGTTCTTGTATTAGGCTAAGTCAAATTTATAGGTAAATAGCAGAAAACTCTTAAAAAAGTCAAAGCTGATGTGGCTTCTAAACTAAGTCATGAGAGTCTTCAAGGTTCAACAAGCTGGAAGTGCTGAGTGGCAGCAAATCGGTTTCCTGTGACCTCTTATGTGAACCTTCTGAAGGAAAATCCTACTGATCTTTTAGATTCTAGATGCCGCATTAGCTCTCCTTTTCTGAAAAGGGATGACAGCTGAAGGATGTGGGATGAGATCCCTCCTGGTCTGCAGAAGCAATGACATTGTAAATGCAGAACACGCTTACTAACATAATATGCAATATAAAAATAAATGGTGCTTTTAGGTATATTAACTCAGTTCAGCATATTTTGTTGTACATTATTCTTGCTTTTCTTATTACACTGTGCTTACTAATCCACAGAGCATACTGTAACATACGGATTTCAGGTCAGAGTCCTGTGCCCTTAATGCAGTGCGATTGCTATGGATTTAAGAATACACTCCATCTTCTATTTTAAGGCCTTCCATACTGTCTGCCATAAGATCATCGTAGAGAAGCTGATGAGCTGTGGGCTGGATGAGCAGACGGTGAGGTGGATTGAAAGCTGGCTGAGTGGCTGGGCCCAGAGGGTATTGGTCAGTGGTACAAAGTCCAGTTGGAGACCGGTGACGAATGGCGTACCCCAGGGGGGGCAATACTGGGTCCAGTCCTGTTTAATATCTTCATTAATCATCTGGGTGGTGGGGTCAATGAGTGTGCCCTTAGCAAGTTTGCTGATGACAGGAAACTGGAAGGAGTGGCTGATACACCCAGAGGGTGGTGCTGCCATCCAGAGGGCCCTCAGCAGGCTGCCCTGGTGGGAACCTCCTGCAGTTCAACAAAGGGCAGCGCAAACTTCTGCACGTGGAGCAGCCCCCGGCACCAGTCCCTGCCGTGGGCTGACCGGCTGGGAAACAGCTTTGCAGGAAAGGACCTGGGGTCCTGGTGGACACCAGGTTGGACGTGAGCCAGCAATGTGCCCTTGCTGCAAAGGCCAGTGGTATCCTGGACAGCATGAGGAGGAATATTGCCAGAACCTCTCCTCGGCACTGGTGAGGCCACACCTGGAATCGTGTGTCCAGTTCTGGGCTCCCCGGTGCAAGGGAGAGATGGATGTACTAGAGAGAGTCCAGTGAAGGGCCACGATGATGATGAAGTGACTGAAGCACCTCGCATTTGAGGAAAGGCTGAGAGAGATGGGAGTGCTCAGCCTGGACAAAAGAAGGCTCAAGGGTGATCTTATTAATGTATATAAATAGCTGCAGGAGGGATGCAAAGAGGACAGAGCCAGGCTCTTTCCAGTGGTGCCCAGTGAAAGAACAGGAGGCAGCGGACTCAAACTGAAGCACAGGAGGATCTGTCTGAACATCAGGAAGCACATTTTCACCGTGAGGGTGACAGAGGACTGCCACAGGTTGCACAGAGATGTTGTGGAGTCTCCATCCTTGGAGACATGATCCTACGCAGCCTGCTCTAGGTGGCCCTGCTTGAGCAGGGAAGTTAGACCAGATGACCTTCCAACCTCAACCATTCCGTATTCTCCCCTCCAGTGGAAAGGATTACGAGGCTGTTATCTCTGTAGTCCTCATGGATTAACAAATTTGCTTGTCTCTTTTTAACATCTTGCTAAGTTGTGTTAGGTGATTGAAACAGAAGTTCCAAGAGGACAGAGACAGCAGAGAAAAAGAAATAGGGTGAAGTTGCAACAGTCAGTCAGTTCACATCAGCTGCAGAAAAGTTTGCCTGTCACACTTCGATCATATCATGTGAATCCTAACTTTGATTAGCATATTAGAAAAAGAGGTTGTTATTAGTAGTATACTCTGACATGATTGAAAGATATTTTTACTCTATTGTATATTGCACTTTAATATGCACTTTCATTGTTTAGGTGCTTATTCATAATCTGAGTACAGTGGAAATTCAGTCCATTTTCTTATTTATTCTTTAAAACTCCTTGAGCATTTATGTGTATGATAAGAAAACTATTCAGTTTTTCACCAAAGGTGCTATATGGGCAATATGAAGTCTCAGAATATTATGAGACAGGATTGAATAAAATCAATTGTGTGTCTGTGATTTTAAAAAATAAGGAGGCCAAGCAGAAACTAGAGGAACTGTCTGTCACTTGCAGTCTCAAAAGTCTGGTATTCTTGGGGAAGATGTTCTATGAAGTAATTGCCAGGTTATTCTGCAGGGAAAACTGTGAAATGCTATCGATAAGCTGACTGTAGCGGATGTTGTGTTCCAGTATGACTGTAGGAAGTAGGTCAGAGAGGTTATATTTGAAATTGATTACCAAAAGAAATACACATCTGTGCTTGGCGGAAAGTGGCAGAGTGAGGTCTGGTGGATTTTTACTCCATGGCACTCGTCTAGAGGTCTGTGTTAGAGAAGGAACAAAGCTGGGTGAAGGCTCTCGCTGTGCAGCAAGCAGCGTTTGTGTGGAAGACGTCAGACTGTTGGGCATTATAAATGGTGGAGATGGAGCAAGCTGAGGAATTCTGGCCAAGCGGCGAGAGAGGTTCTGAAGTCAGTCACATAGCTGTTACAGAAAAAGTTACATTTGGGTGAGGCTGTGGGAGTTGGGCCACCCAGGGCTCTACAGCTGGGAGAGGAGGTGTGTTGAGGGGATGTTGCCCCATGCAGGACTGAAAAGGTTTTTTTCAGTCGTGGGTAGTTTGGACTAGTGAAAATTTGTGCAGGCAGGCAACAGTGCTGACTTCAACGTTAGGATGGAGAGTACTCACAGTAGTAACCATTCTTTTTAGTATTCACAGTAAATTGGCAATCATCTTGCTTTGAGGATTTGTGGGGTGGGTTACTGAGAAAACTGGACGGGATTTGATGGAAAAACGGTCCTAGCCCCCCTCCCTCCTTTGTGGATGGCCCAGTCAAAGATTATGCGCCTGAAGGAAACACCCTCTGTCTCAGCTGTGGGGTTTAGAGCAGGCTCCTGCTCTCTCCTTTAACTGTGAGAGCCTGCTCCGTTGCCAGGTGTTGTCTGGTTTCTCTTACCTTCCACCGGTTTCTACCTTTCTACCTTTCGTGCTTCCAGTCTGCAGCAAATTGCCTTTGTGCCTCTCTATTCTCCACTGCTTTCCTCATGGAAGAAGAAAAAGGTTGACTAAAAGGGAGGGAAGCCGTTGCGTTATAGGAGAGTGGAGGTGTTTAATCCAATTAAATGTGGAGAGAGTGAGACCAAAACTCAAATTCTTTTCTGTTCATGTTTGACCTATAGAGCTCCCAGCATAGCAGATCATTGACCTCAGGAAGGTTATTTGAGCAGAACAATCAGTCAAACAAAACCCCATAATCCTTATCTTTTAAGTGATCTTTATTTATACAGGCTCATATTCTGTGTACTGGTAATAGGACTTGTCAAGCCAACTTCTCATTATATTTTATATAGTGTTACTTTAAAGTACTTTAGCTCAAATCCTCAAGGTAGATAGGAGTATGGTGATGTAGTACAGGTCACACAAGATTGGTGAGGGTCCTGCATAATAAATGGTGAAAGAGTTGGTAAGAGCGGTGATTCTAGAACAGAAATAAAAGCTCTGAAAAGTGACCTGTAAAATAAAAAAAAAATGCAATGGAATTCATGTGCCTGCGTGCATGTATTCTCAGGGATGTAACTCAACCATCTCCTGTTATTCACATGTATTCTTGATACTCGGTGTTACGCTAGCAAATGAGTTCAGCTCTTGCAAAATACAGATTCAGTGGCCATCGCCCTGCAATACTTTAAGCCCTGTCTGATCGTCAAACTTTAGCCCTGTTGTATTTTGCTCTTGATGACTCTTTTCAGTGATAATTTAGATAAGATGAGTATTTGCTTACCTCATGTTGTCTCCTGTTTTAGTTGCTGAGCAGAAAGTTTTGCCTTCCACAGGCTGCACCCCAGTAATAACTTGTGATAACTTGTAATAACCCTAGAGCCTAAGGGGTTTTATGATAGGAGGTTTGGTGCCAGAAGTCTAGAGGAGAGCATTTAACCGTGCTGTCCTAAAAGAAAAGGTATTTGTAGCTTTTGGTAAGGCTATGTGTTTTAAACCTCTGAATCCAGTACTCAGTGGGGAGAGGAGGGCGTTTCTGCCGACCTTACAGTTGAACGCGTCCCCCGAAGTCACTTGAATCTTGGGGCTGAGGCAGTGGCCGTGGCTGTGCCGCGCAGGGCAGCTCTGTGCACGGTGCCTGCGGGCCGTCGGGCTCGGAGGCTGGCCGCTCTGGGCCCGACGGGGTCAGTGGCGCCGCCGCCGCCGCTCGGCCAGCGCTGCCTCCGAGAGTTTCGTCGCTGCGCCTCTCGGCAGCTCCTCCCGCCTCTTCTGACTCTTCCGCTCTGCCCCTCTGCTGTTAGTTCTGCTTCTGAACCTCAAAGCCTGGAGCGTGAGGGGTCTGAGCCAGGCCCATCTTGGGCAGAATACTGTAGAAGCAGGTGGAAGATAAAGCCTCTTGAATTATTTTGGTCATTCGTTTGTATAGAGTTAAATCGTATTCCGTATGCTTCTTATGTTAACGGTCGTTCAGAAACGGCAAATATCTGTTTAATCTGTGTTTTTCAAGCTTTGATTAGTTTGCTGCTTTTGCTCTGACTTTTTTGGGGAGCCCTGGCGACTTTGTCATCCTCTAAAGCACGCGAAGAATACATCACGTGAAAGCAAAGGACAAATTGCTTTTGTGCTTCTTCATTGTATCTCTTTCCCTGTGGCTTCCTGGGTCGAATGTTAAAAATGCAAGTTCTTAGTGCATTAATCTGTATTTTCAGGATGTTTTGCACACCTCTTCCTAATCACGAAGAATTATTGTGAAGGATGTGATAGGGCTTGGTGGTCTGGTATTGTGATAACTAATAGCTCTGGTTTGGCAGACACGTCCAAGAGCAACGGTGTTTGTGATTGTTTGACATTTCTTCAATTTTTGCTTAATCCAAAGATTCATTGCATTCCAACCATAAAGCATGGCTTTGCACCAAAAGAAAACAGTTATATTAATAATCTCAGGAATGTTTGGGGCTGCTTTTTTAGTGGCTGCTGCATTGTTTCAGAGGTATTTTCTTTCCCTTGTTTAAACAATCAACTTTAAGGTTTTCAGACAGTTTATTCCAACTGGTTGAACTTTCATGCAAGCACGTAACCCTCCAAAGATCAAAAATTGCCTCAGGATATTTTTAATTTAATAAAGAACCAAGCTGACTTCAGACTTACACAGCCTGCATAAATCCAAAATTCTAGATTCTAATAAATCTAAAACTTTTTAATTAAAAGTGGAGATATCTCGATTTAAATAAAGCACAGTCAGACACGTCTTTCTGTCACATTTTTGGGGAGTTGCCATTTAGCCCCGTGAATGGCCATTTACAGTAAAAGGGAAGAGAAAAGGCTGAGTAACTTGAGCCAGGGATAGCAATCTTTTAATCCTCCGTCTGTCTTGCTGAAGTTATCTGTTCACAGAAAATAAGACATCTCATCTGAGGACCTCCAATGAGTATTTTGCAAAAGTATAGTATAATTGACACATATTAATAAATTATATACAGTTAAGAAGTTGCTTTAACGGTTACCAGAGCGCCTGTTAATACCCCAGAAGACAAGGTAGTGAATTTTGTCATATTTTCTTAGAAAATAATCCTCTCTTACTGTTTCTGGGAATTCACTTTCTTCCGCTCGTTCTAAGAGCCACCTGACTTTAGAAATACCTCCAGCAGCATTTAACTGAACACTGTATTATGTTGTGGAGTAGGGATGATTTGTTGAGTTAGAGGCATGGGCTAGAGATTTTAGGTCCCTCCCACAGTCAGTTTTTCTTTTGACTGTGACATCCTGGTCATCAATTGTAAATTGTGAGGTTATACCAATGTATAACACAGGAGTGTAGAGAGGGTTTTTGGGGGGTAATCTTCTCCAGTCCCCAAATCCATTAAATCTTTTCTATGTTTTTTTTCATGCAGCCCTTTGAAGCACTTGGTCAGTGCTGATCCCACTCAGGCAGTTGAGGGTTTCAGCGAACACTGAAACAGATCCATAGCAGGCTGTGAAGGTTGTCATCAAGGTGTCATTCTCTTATTAGTGTGCTGGTTATCCCTCAAGGAGAAGTTCTGGTGACTCAGAATTTGGCAGCAACGTGTCAGTACACGCTTTTGCCTTGCACATGGGCCCTCCGGGGCCAAACCAGCATTCCTGCTGGTGGTTGCCTCAAGCTGTCCTAGTCCAGGATGAGTCTGGACGTTAGCGCTTGAGCATGAGGTAGCCCGTGTCACCTCCCCTGTTGGGAAGCACCTGATGGCACACCTGTGGCAGGTAGAAGGACGTACAAAGACAGGGCTGACAGGACTGGATGGTGACAAGGAGATAAATGAGACGGAGTTTGTCCCGGCTGGGAAGTGGTAACAATGAACTGCGAGATGGAGGTGAGGCTACGGCTGGGAGCCATGAACAGCTGGTGGCATTGGAAGGTGGAAGATAGCAGAGAAACCACGTGAAGTGGGGCTGGTGAGCTGGCTGGCTGTGGGACAAGGCTGAGATGAATGGGAAGGAGGGGGAAGGAACAGGACTTGATCTGGTCAGGTAAGAGAAAGCCCAGAACTGTGGTAAGGAATAGTGGGGCTTGACGAGCAAGAGAGAAGCTAACCAGGCTGGAAGATTGCTTGCTATACAGTTCCTAACTTCCAGTAGCTTGGCTGCAACTTCACTCTTTCCAAGCAGAGCTTTGTGGTGTGTGGATAGTACTGTTAAGTTACATGCTTATTCTGCTATGATAGGTGTTTTTATTGTGCGTATGCATGCATAAAGTGCACTAGGCTGCAGGGAGTCCATAGTACGGACCACGAGCACAGGTCTTTTCTTTGTACTCTCTGGTAACTTTTTTTGGTTGAAGTAATTATTTTGAGTAAAGACTGCAGGTTGTGACCCATTGACTTACTGACCCTGTTTGTGCTAACATGACTGAAGGGAAGAGTTTGCTGGTATCCCCTGCCATGGCCATGTTAATGGAAGTGTGAGTTCAGAGTAGCTGAGGATTCACTCCAGTGTCCATGAGCCTGGCCGCTTGTTTTCATACTACACTGGAAGCCTAAAGTTGTCTTTAGTTCTCCCTTGGTTTTTTTTTTTTTTTTTTTTTTTTTGCTTATAAAGTAGCCAGACAAATGCCATTTTTGCTCAGAGTAAGGAATCAAGAATTCAGTATATGTGTTGGGACTTACTGTGGAATACAGATATTTGCTGCTACCAAATAACAGAAAAGGACATAATAATTTTGAAGAAACTGTTTTTATAGAAACCATTGTTATTTTTACAATAAAAGCTTCTTAAAGCAATTAAGAAAATGTTTTTTCTCAATTCTGTTATTTGTTGTTAATGGCGTCTGTTATTTTTCAGAACAATAAATCTAAACAGTAGTTTACTGCAACAAGTAATTGAAAGAAAACGTGAAGTGCTGTGCATCTTGAGAGAAAAGATAATAACAACTCAGAAGTGTACAATATCTGAACATATCCAGACAGAAGAAAAAATCAGCGGTGTGGTGGGATGCAGTACAAAAATAGTAAAGGTAAAAGTTACGCAAAATCTTCAATGATTAGAACATTTGCAGGGTATCTGAGAAGAAATTATGATTTCTCCAAATAGACTTCAGAGTACTTTCCATGCTTCCTCAACACGTTGTACTCACTACAGTGCTTGGTTGTGGAGTTTCAGAAAGGTAAAATATTTTTTCCGTTGCCTCACTGTCAAAAGTTGCCATTGTTTAATGTGAGCCTAGAATGTGATTTCTATCAATACTGTCAAGCTGTGATTCAGTTTCTGTGTAGATCCCTGTCTACAGCAGAACATAAACCAAACTTACGACGATTCAGTGAAAGTTGAATAGCAAAAACCACCGCTCAAGCAAATGTGTTTGAAAATCCAAGTGATCATTCACCAGAAACGTTTGCAGCGTCTGCTGAGTTTTATTGAGAAGCTGTTTGGTTTTGATCATGGGCGTAGAGATTAACTGCATAATGAGGATATCTGAAAATTGCTTATGAATTAAGAAGGAATTACCAAAGTTAAAACATACGCTCATTCATTGTAAGTTGTTTTGGGTGTTTTTTTTTTTTTCTAAAGCTGCAGATGAATCACCTCTGTGTACAGGGTGTCTCCAGTAGCAGAAGTTTGGGAGTTGCAGGTCAACAGCCCTCTGTGCAAGTGCCATTGTCCTGGTACCAGTCTCCAGCTGGTCAAAACGGGTGTCAGGGTAGGAGAGGGCAGGGCAGGATACCCCAGTGGGTGTCCATTGCCTCGTGACACAGTGTTTCACGTGGGGCAAAAGTTGCACCTGGAGCTTAACTTTGTGCTAGGACAGAGTAGCTAAGACTTCGAGAGCTGCTCTTGGCATTGTGCTTCTACCTCGCTGCTCTTCTAGTTCCTTTCATAGATGTCAAATGTAATGTGCTTTAGTTAGACATCGTGGAGTCTGTATTTTTTCCCCTTAATTAATTCTGTGTTTAAGCTACACCACAGTTGAATCAGATAAACGGTGAATAAATCTGTCCTCTAGGTTTCAGTGAGTGAAAATGGAAGTATGTTGAAGGATTCAAGTGTGATTCTTGAAATTCCTCCTGCAACCACTATTGCCTATGGTGTAATTGAACTGTTTATAAAGCACAGTGGCCAGTTTGGTAAGTATAAAGCTAATTTGCTGCGGCACGCAGTTCAACTGTGGACAGAGCTGTCTGTTGGGCAATGATTTTTGCTTTTCCCTGTGTGTGAAGGTGATGATGTTACGTGGTCTCCATTGCCTGGATATTTGTGCGGTCAAATGCTGCTCTGCTGATTTAGTAATGCTTTTTCACTTGTTTGACTAAATCATAAACTCAGAATAACTTAGGTTTCAAGGGACCGCAGTAGGTCATCTATCCCCAGCTCAGGGCAGGGTCAACTTTTGAAGTTTGATCTAAGTTCAGAGTTAGATCAGATTGCTTGTATCCTTGTCTATTCAAGTTTTGGTTATCTACAGAGATGGAGATTCCATCACCCCTCTGGGCAGCCTGTTCTCATATTTCACCGCCATCCTTTTTTTTTCTTCAATATCTAAGGAGAACTTCCCTTTCCTTAATACGTGCTTCTTGCCTTTTGTAGTATCATCATACAGAAGAGTCTGGCTCTGTCATCTCTTTGTGCTTCCATTGGGTAGTTGTAGATAGCAATAAGGTTTTCCCTTAGCAGTATTTTCTCCAGACTGCACAAACCCAGCCTTTCAGCCTCTTCTCATACATGATGTTCTCCAGCCCCCCATGACCTTGGTGGCTGTTAGCTAGATTGCTCCAGTATGTAAATGTCTGCTTTCTACTGGGGAGTTCTAAACTGGACACAACGCTCTGAATGCGGTCTCCCAAATTGAAAAATCACTTTCATTGATCTGCTAGCAACACTCTTGTCAGTACAGCCCAGTGGGCAGCAAACTCCAATAGCTGCAGGAGCACACTGCTGATCCCCTCGAATTTGTTGTGCAGGTCTTTTCCTGCAATTTTGCTTCTAGCTAGCTCGCTCTGAGCCCGTGCTGTTGCTCTCACCTATTGGCAGGGAGAATGAACTGAATGTAAATCAGCAGTCAACCAGGAATGTTTAGACAACAGTCATGCTAAGAAAAGAATTACTCATAAACTACAGGACTGGAATTTAAACTCTTCTGTTTCTTTTGCACTTTGGTATATAGATTGTTCTCAGAATGGTTGCCAAAATGTCCTTGTCGTGTCTTCTGGTCATGCTTTACTTATTTCAACTTGAATACTGTCACTTGTCATGTTAAAAAAAAAATGTTGAAATTGGCCTTGGTGGGAGCAGTAACTCTGCTGTATAGAATTACCTGATTTTTTCTTTCTTGTCTATCCTCAGTTAAGCTCCTTGACCTAAAGGGGGTTTCAGGGGATGTTATGCAAGAAGTAAAGAAATCAGATGGATTGTGTGGAGCTGGAAGTTGGGAAGGACTTATGTGGAGAGAAACAGGAGATACATTGAAGAAATAATTGAAGTGCAGTTGAGATTTGAATTCAGGATGCACTTTATTTGGATAAGAAATGCAGACGATACTCTCCATCATTCTCCTTCAACTGACTTCTGATATTAAGGAAGTCTGTAGGTTCAGGAATATAAGTAAATGTCATGTAACCTGTAAAAAAAACTCTCAGAAGCGTGGAATTGCTCTGACGTAGGCTGAATGCAGAGATACACCAGAGGGCATTGACTTCATGGTCATATTATGACCAGAACTGTAATTCAGAGTAATCAGGTGCAATTAAGGCTATCTGACTACATAGGTGTATAGCTGATAGCCTGCTTATGTGATTTCTAGATAGAAATTCTTATGTCCTGCTAGCCGATGATGATATTATTAATGGCTTGTATTTCTCTGCTGGTTTTCCACTTCTTCTTTTCCACTTTTCATATTTAATGTTATGCCTCTTATGCTTCAAAACCAGCACAGCTTGTTTCATGTTTTATCTCAAACAACTTAAGTCTTGCCTCTTTTTTTTTTAGTTTGTGCTATCTGTCCTTGCCTGAGTGTCATTGAGAAGGTAAAGTGGAGGAACTAACAAGAAAATTAGGGATTTGGCAGCAAGAATAAGTATGGTGGAGCCTAACCTTCAACTTAATGTCTGAGCAGTGATCGGTGTCTGTTTATGGAAATAAAAGTAGCCTTTGAACTTAAATCCGGAGGCTAATGGAGTCCTTTCATATGAGACTGGAAAAGACCAATATCAGGTGTAACATGATGGGGTTCTCTTCACAGAAAATTGTAGAATAAGGTACATATAGGGTTTTTTTTTTTTGTTTCTTTTTCTTTGCCACTGACAGTGCTTGAGTTATTCTGTGAGAAAGAATGGTATATAAATGTTCTTAAAAGTGTTCTGGCTAATATGACTGGACGTTTTCACAAAGTAAAAAAAGAAAGAAAAAAAGGTCTAATCCTTTTCTGATTCCTTTACCATAATGTTTTCATGTAATCATTCTGCTTGATTTCTACAGGCTAATTTTCCACTACATGGAAAAGCAGTTCCTGTTAAAGGCTTTGCATTTTTGTGTCTCAAGTTTCACTGCAAGTCCTCTTGTTCTTGCTTTATAAAACAGGAGGTATAGTGGCACCCAGCTGGTTTGCTTTGCTCTGTTCATGGCTGTATGTGTGTGCTGCATAGATGCTTCCTGTTAAATGTTTGTAAAGAGTCATCATCTTTTCAACTTTTCCCCGCAAAGGAGTCTCTTTGCCTTTGACTGTTTTAATTTATCATCTGGTTTTCTTTCATTTTTATTAATCTTTCTGAATAACTAACAAGATCTAACTGCACTACTGGAGGTTTGTCATTGATGGATGTAATAGAATTCAGTAGAGAACATAGCACAGTATTATGCAGATTCTTTCATTCACTTATTTTTCCCTTCTCTTTTTTTTTTTGACAGAGTATGACAAAATTAATGAGATACAAAACTGATTAACAGTCCTATTAATACAAAACTCTGAGTCTTGTATTTTCCTCTGAATTGAGTCCTGTTACAGGGTCTGTATCTCTTAAAACTTTTCACATGATACTGTGTATTGATTTCCCTTCTTAGCAGCATTCTGCCTTAGGAGGGCAGGTAGTTTATTTGCACTATCTTCCTCCTTCAGGGTTTGTGTGAAAGCCTTGTTATTATCAATGAAAGTAACAGGAGCATGTTGGCCTTCTGGTGCCTTAGCTGCTGTCTGGAGTCTTGTTGCTTTGGGAAGTTCTTTAATTTGTGTTAATAGCTTTCTGCTCCTCTGTAGCTCTCTCTTCTCTGTGAAGGGTTATGCAGGCATCAAGGTCTCTGTCATCTTTCTTTCTCTGTGGCAGAGATTTCTTTGCTCTCCCTTTGAAAAAGCTTTTTGCTGATGAAGTGCTCTCTGTGCTTTCTCATCTGCTTTGAATGTCCTTAATTTGGTGAGACAGACTGTTACAACTGCAGGAAGGTTATATTTAGGTTTTGTGCCTGGTACATGTGAGCCTTGTGCTTCATTAGTTACTTTCCACCCCCCCTTTGCTGTCGGGTATTACTTTAAAACTGAGTTGTTCTTGCTAGCCTGCCTGTGTTCTCCTCAGACCTGCTGCAGAGCGCCAGGGATACAGTTTCAAATCTTGCAGTTGAGCCAATAAAAAGATGATTAAAATAATACACAGGGCTTTGAATTTATATGCTGCATCTTTGGGGCGCAATATTGGGCGCAGGGGCACAGAACTTGATATTCCAGATTTCTCCCCATACCTCTTACAAAGGCTCGCTGTGTACCTTCCAGCAGACCCTTAGCTTCATCAGGCTGGGGGGACTGGGGTTGCAGGAGGTCTACAGTCCCGTCTGGGTGAGGTGGGCCAGTGCTCGTTATGAAGATGAGGCAGAAAGAGTAATCCAGCCAGGGGGTGGTGTTTTTTTTCCTCAAAGTTATTGCGAAGAGACGGTGTCTATGGCAGAGTGATTCTGTTAGTGAACTGGCTGAGTGAAGTCCTTTAGAGATTCCGAAAAGCCTCATATTTTCTACTCGTCTGGAGAGCTTGAGGGTGGACCTGTGGCTTGGCAGAGAAAGAGGAGTCTTACCAGTGCCATGCCCAGAAGCAGCTCTGTGAGGGACTTCCAGAGTTCTTAGGAGCCTCAGAAAGTGCTTTCGTGTGTCTGCATCGTGAATGGATCCTGTAGCCTGCATTGCAGCACATCTTTGAACTGGTAGAAAACGTGAAGAACTCACACCTTCATCTCTTGTATGTAACATTGAGGTTTACGGTGTTGGTGAGTGTTCATGTTATTTGCTGTCTACGTTAATTCACAGGAACTGGTGTCACATTTTGTAGTTGGTAGCTGCACCGCAGAACCTTTGTGTGTGCGTGCTGTGCCAAACATCAGGGCTGCAGTAGTGCTCAGTAATTCACATACACAGCAACCACTGGCATTCTTCCCAGCTAGGAGAGGTGAGGCGTGGAGAAATCACATGCGAGAACACTAGATAATATAAGCTAGCATCTCATTTGGTAATTGCTTTTCTATTTCATTAATATTTCTTTTTAATTGAATTTCTCATTACAGAATTCTGTCTGCTAGATGAACAGCAGGGAGGTTTTGAAAAAGAAAGCACAGAAGGCTCAACTTATCCGTACTCTGCATTATTCAGAGATGCTTTGTTTCTCTATCAGCCGGATGCTGTTGATAATAAGATGTACTCTGGGGCTAAAAACCTCATTCCCAGTGATGCTTCTTTAAGTGTATTGAAACAAGGTATTACCAGAAATGCTTTACACGAGTACATTACAGTAAGTTAAGCAACATGATAGGAGGAAATAATCTGGTACAATAGTACATTAGGAATTATGGTAGTTCATTTTAATAGCCCTTATCAGGAACTCTTAGGGGAATGCACTGAAAGAATAGAAGAATTTACTTCTGCAATAGGTATATGCAAGGGACTGTTCCTTGTAAACATCCTGAATCCCTTTGTCTTAAATATGATCTTACGGAATTAGGGGTTTATGCCAGTTCTCTTACATTCCAGAGAAGCTCCGTAAATTAATGATGATTTATGCTTTCATTCAGAAGGGGTCACTGAAAATATTTTTTTCATGATTTGGAAAATAGCTCTCAGTGAAGCTTCTCAGCTGAAGGTTATTTTAAGTCTCAAAAATTACAGAGACATCTCCCCCGCCTTCAATTAGCCTCATTATTTTCTGAGAAGCTTTAAAGAAATCTTTGCTATCGACCAAGGCTGAAGAAATTAAAATGTGATTTAAATGGAAGCTTGCAAATTGGTATAATGAGCCAGGCACAACTTATTTATTGTAGGGATGTGGAAGGAAGTGGCAGGATTGTCACCAGGGGAATGAAAAAGGGGAAAACAAATCAAGGCCTCAGAACACACTTTACTTTTCAGCAGTTCTCAGTAGAGTTCTTACAGCTTTTTCTGACAATGAACATTGCTTCTGTTACCTCTGAATTTCACCCTTTGTTCATGGCTGTTCAGTAGACTAACTGCGGCCAAAATAGGTATTTGTTGTCACAAAATAAATTCTGTCATTCTCCAGTGGAGACTTGTTTGAAAAGAACAACTGCGTGTGCATGTGTATATAAAAGCTGCTTATTTGGGAAAGAATGGTATGCCACTGTGCTGGGTTTTGTTTTAGCTTGACATACCTTTGGGTCTTCCTTGCTTAAAAGGCTTGGAGGCTTCTTTTAATTAATTAACCTGAACTGTCTCTTGGAAAAAAACTAAAAAAATTTTCTACTACAGAAAAGAAATTTAGTTATTTATTTCCCCAGTTAAGTAATTTTTAGATGTAAAAGGCGTGTTTAAAGAGAGCGTGTTTCTTGACTGGAGGGGCATGAGGGGAAATTCCTTTCAAACAAGGCTAAGAATGCGTGCATGCCCATATTTTTGGAATGTGGAAAACCACCTTCCAGTTGGCATTGTTGACTTGAAAGCTTATTTTCTTTTAGCAAAGTGGTAATTTGATGTCATAAAACATTTGGGTTTACTGCCACAGTTGAACTGTGGAGAGAGAAGTACAGTGAACTCTCTTGTACTTCTGTTGTATGTATTGTGAGGGATTCAGTATTTCGATCAAGAAGAGATTTTTGTCCTGATTTTTGTAATAAGTCTTTTTAGGTTGGGGGTGAAGGGGTGTAGTTCTTTGCTGCACCTGATGAAATATGAGGACAGTAACGATTTAGCATCACAATAGGAACTTTTAATTCTGTGTGCGGGCTTACACCATTGACTTTGTAATTCCTGTTAACCCACAGATGAAGAAGTCAGGTCATGAGCAGAACTCTTAATTCTGCCTTGTAAATGAACGTTCTCTGGAGACGAACTTTCAAGTGAGAAACTTAATATATGCTTAGTTCAGTTAGCATTAAAATACTGACTTCTAAAATATTAAAAGTACTGAACACCGAATGGTGATCGTGGGTAGCTGTTCTTCTTTCTTAGAATTTTCACTGATGCTTCATTGGTCCGTTAGGGAAAGATAATCAGATGTGTTCCAGCCTTGCATTATGACTTGTGCTGATGGAAATCAGGGTGTCAAGATAAATGAGCTGATGAAACACATAGCAAAAATGTTAACTGTTTTTACTGGCATTTGTGTAGAAATAATTTGGTTTACTTTTTACCGCTTTCTTGGGAAAGATCTGTCACGGTTGAAGATGCAGTTCCAGCCCTTTGTGAAGCTGCCGGAGTATAAGCAAAGAACTTTATATAAAACACTTTGTGAACTTTTGCTCCGTGAAGAAATGGTAACTGCCCTGGAGGACGTGGTAAGATGAAGAAACTTTTGCTTGCTTCCTAAAAGTAATTTCAGGACAGAGCTAGCTTTTTATTTATACTTGAACTTTTCTCTTTTCGTGACGTTTTACTGATTTTTTTGCTTCCAGTTAGATGATATCTGCACAGGAGATAAGCCAGATCTGAAGGAGTTAAAACCTGCACAACTACGAGACCTCACTGATTTCTTGCAGCTCTTAGGGTGCAGTTTAGAGAGCAAACTGTTGTTGCAGAAATATCAGCCTCCGGATGAAGAACTCTTCTCAGCTGCTCACCTCCTCATCAGTGCTATCTCTGGTATGTCGTGAATGAAGAGAAGGGCCCCTTTATAAGATTTTCCTTTTAGAAGCTCCCTCTGTGTTAAAGAATTTATGGCTCTTTTTGAGCAGTTGGTGAGCTGAGTGAATATAACTTGTTCTGTTCCTTTTTATGGGTTTCATCTACCATGCTTCGCATTCCTGGCTGTGAATTAAATTCAGCCCTCAATCACTGACAGGTTTTGCTTGTAAAATATACGTTCCCCCAAGGTTGCTCAACTCTGCTTTCTGCTGAGTGTGGGCATTGCCAGTTTGGCAGGCTAATTTCTGTGCTTATTGGACACCAGAGTTCTTCCCACCTGAATGCTGAGAATGACCAATTAGGTGGTGTCTTCAGTGTAACAGCATTTATTGTTGAGGTGCAAACTATATTTAGCAAAAATGAATTTAACATAAAGACACTGCCAATAGAGGGTTGTTTTGCAGGTGCTGAAAAAGGAGATTAAGCATAAATGTCAAACAAATGCCATACTCAGGATCTAGTTGGCACCACAGTGTTAATTAAACGCTACCTGCAAATTCCAAGAGAGACTCCTTCCTGGCTTTCCCTCCTCTCTCTCGTATAGAAGAATTTCCTGACGTTAAGATAACGAAGGGAGGTTCGGTGTGGTATTAGTTAGCTGTGGCACTGTGCAGCAAAATGTCACCGTGCATCCGTATAAGCACAGTACCCGGGTAGGAAAAGCTTAACTCATTTGTGGAGACAGAAAAGCAACAGAAAACAGAAACCTGCTGATGTGGTAACACCTCTCAGATGCTGTTAACAGCAGGGCCCAGGTCGCTGAGCGTGTTGTGTTATCCCTTGGCTTGGGACATGTCTGCCGCCACTGTCCAGGCGTAAGTGTAGCTGGATCAAGAGGCAGAAGCTGGTTTGTGCCTGTTGCTTCCGTTAGGAATTACGCCCTTGGGTTACAGAGTCAAAGGGCTCCACAGGGATCGTTTAGTCCGTATCCCTGCCCCAGGGCAGCCTCAGCTATGTCTTTCCTCTCAAATGGCTCAAAGTGTGGTTTGGCGGAAGTCGGCATCTCTCACAGATGTTGAGAGCAGAAGGTCTTTGTTTATTTGAGGCCTAAATCATCCATCCGGCCTGGAGACTCGGCGTGAAACACTGGCGAGGTCCTTGAGGAGAAGAGAATGGGGGGGGGGAGGAAATCCCCTTTCCTGTGAGCTGCCTTTGTTCAAGGGCAGGGATATCCGCGTGGGGCCTGCACCCATTCCCTGTCCCATGTCATTCCGGGCTCTGGGAAGCAGGCAGGAAAGGGCTGGATCAGCCTCTTCCAAACATCCAGCAGAGCACTTGTGACAGCTGTCCTCAGGATTGAATCGCTCTGGTCTCCAGCATCCATTTCACAAGGTGCTGCACCTGCAGATGGGACTCAGAAATGCAGCTTGTCTGTCTTTAGTCAGCAGGAGAACCCCGGAGCAGAGCCCCTTTCCAGCAGGCAGCCTCCTGCAGTGTTCACTGGAAACGATTTTTTTTTCCTTCTCACTTTTCCTTCACAGAGCTGTCTGATTACACTCTTGGCCTGCTGCGTGCCTGCTGTGATCTTCAGGTTGTTCCAGCATTGTGTTGTTTGGTGAGTAATCAAAATGGGACTGTGTAGCACGTGGGCCCCAGCAGCACTAATGGCTGTGCCCTCTGCCTTGTGTTGCTCACCCAATAAAGCAGATGTCAAGCTCCAGTGTTGAATTTCAGCTGTAGGCATTGCTTGGGCAGGGTCAAGTGATGCAGGTAATGTGCTGCAGGTCGATCCCTAAGGTCTGAAACATTTCTGTATTGGGGAAATTTCATGGGCTGTGAGCAGCAGAAGTTTTGTACGCTAAGCTCAAATTTGAATTTACTAATAGTCTCACTAGCCCGTTTTAAAGGCTCAGTGATCACTTGCCCTTGGGAAACAGAAATTTCACTCTGATGGCGGCAGTGCTTGGGCCTTGGCAAATTTAGGAGTTCATTCACTGCAACTGCTGAAGGAGTGGGGCAGGGCTTTTTTAAAGCTCTTTAAGCTCACTGGCAAAAATAGTAGCAACCTTTATGTAGTGGCAAGGAGAGTGCTGCTGCTTGCTCAGAGCAAGAGTGAGAGTTAAGTGTGATCTGCAGTGAGAGAAGTCGGAGCAGGGGAAAGGACGTGGCAGGAGGAGCTGTCTCTCCTTCAGGGGTGCCACGGAGCTTTGGTTCTGGATGAGCACGTCGTACTCGTCAAGGCTGATAGTAAAGGGAATCTTACCCTTTTGCCACTGCCTTGTGAGCTCTCCCGTGGTTTTGTAAGGAGCTGAGCTACGCGGTGGCAGGAACAGCGCCGCTTGGAAAACCTTTTTAATGACTCTGTCTTTTGCTCTCTCTCGTGAACACAGCCCCACGTGGCTTCAGCCGATGGCACTGTGGCGCTCAGCAGTCCTTTGGTGGCTGCCCTCACTGACAGAAGAAGATTTGATGTCGTCCAAAGGCTGTTTGCTTCATCAAACATTAATTTGGAACTGACAGGGTCTTCTGTAAAAGCTGTAACTATGAAAGAACCTACATTCTTCCCACTTGTTCTTTATGTTGCACTGTATGGATTGTACGCCTTGGGTGGGAGTGGGCAGGAGCTTTGCTGAGTATCCAGCTCCTACCCTAGCCCGTTCTTTTTTCTGTAGCTCTGCAGTGTAGTGTTGGTGTGCTGGAGCTAGCGGTGCAGCCGCTCGGGTGAGTGCTTAGGGCAGCCAGGGGCTGTGGAGTCAGGGAGGACTCGGCGTGCCTGGGGTGACAAGGGCTCTGCCGCCGGCGTGGCGCCGCTCTGCAGCGTCCCCGAGGGGTGCGCGCACGTCTGGAGCGGAAAATACATAAATAAGGGATGAGGGGAGGAGTTAAGAGAAGCCTGGGGCAGAAATGGAACGTAGCTGTTCTGGTAGTTGTCAGATCTGCAGGGCAGTAGGAGCCTGATTGCTTGCATTAACATGCGTGGGAGAAAACTGGAAAGTACAAATTGCTTTTTGTGAGCAAGTGAGGGAGCAGGCTGTGGAAATCCAGGGTTCTGCAAGGCAGTAAGTGTTTTGCTCGTTTAAGACTTGCTGTGCAGAATGCCTTCTCTCTGGAGCAGGTGAAATGGAGGGCTCTTAAAGAGGTGCTTGATTAGGTTTTCATTTATTAAGTGTAGTTTGGCTTTAAGGGTGTGAACTGCATGCTGCAGGAAATAAAAAAAAAAAAAAAAACACCCTCTTTTTCGAAGACTAAGACCAGCTTGGGAGTTTATGCCTCTCTACAGCATTGCTGTTTTCTACTAAGTTTTCACTCACCTTAGCAAGTTTCAGCTGTTTAAATTGCATTCTGAGAACTTCCTCTTTGAGATACCGTGATCCTGCTTGGTGTGTGCAGGTGAAACGCCCCTGCTGCACTCCGCCTCAAGGATCCTTTTACCCATGTGACACTTCAGGTGCAGATATTTTGCTCGTTTCTTTGACGAGCAGCAAAATGTCAGTAAAGCACTTTCTGCTTTGAACCATTCTGCCTTTTTTTCATCATAACCTTTTGTAATCATGTGGTTGGGACAGAAATGCAGCAGAGATCACCGTAAATCCGGGCTTGGGGAGGTGATGTTGCAGGTCAGCGCTTTCAGAGGGGGTTGTGAGGTGGCTGAGAGACAAACAAGCAGGTGCCTGTGCGGGGGGTGACCAGTAACCAGGCCCTGCAGCTCAGCTGGGCGGGGAGGAGACCTGGGTTCAGTTTTCTGCTCTGTTCCCACACGGGCTTGAGCAGATGGTTGTCTAAGAGCTCTTTAAAAAACTCCCGTCAGTTCAACTTCCCCTGGGACTTGGCAAAAAAAGCACCGCGGTACCTTCCCGTAGGCCGAGAGCGCAGGATGACGGCCTTGCACGCTGAGCTGTCGGTGTTTCTGCGGCTCAGCTGGTAAATGAAGCCGCTGGAGCTGCCCGAGCCTTGCCCTGGGGTGTGTGGAAACCTTCTTCAGGAGGAAGGAGGCGCGTTCCTCCGCTTCTGGGAGCGGCGGGTGTTTGGAGATGGGAAAGTCGCCTTTTGCCACTCACTACTCAGAAGTTGCCTCTGTACCCCATTAGTTTCTCAAACCTTTCTATTAAATGTTACGCCTGACTTCTAACCTCATGCATGTAATTTCCAGTGTTCTCCGCGGGATTCCAGCCATGCCCTTGGCCCTGAATGCTGGGGCACGCAGGTGGATGTGTGGACACCCACGCTGTGCCGCCCTCCACCTGCTCTGATCTTCCGGACGGAGTTTTGGCATCTTAACGTGCGCCGTATTGCGTAACTGCTGCCAGGGTGGGCTGCGTCCTACATGTAGAGAGGGGATTTGTTTAAAGAGGGGGAAGATCAAAACAGACGCTAGGTGTTCTGTAGAAACCTTATTAAAAAAAAAAAAAAAAAAAAAAAAGCAGAATGTTTTCTTCGCTTCCTGCTGTTTGGCTTTCAGGTGTAGGTTAGTCTTTTGTTTCAGTTGACCTGTCGAGTGGATTTCAGGCTGAGGGCCATACGGCTTGCTGACAAGGTGGGGGCGGCCGCGGGGCTGGCGGCGTGGACGGCACTTGGGGAGAGCTGGATGTTCATCCGCCATCTCTTGGGTAAAACAGCGATTCCCTGCGGCAGGCTGGCCCCGAGCAGAAAAGCGCTTTTTTTCAAGGTTAGAAAAAAAAAAAAAGCAGAGAAAGCAGAGTGGGGAACTTCAGAGAAGGTTGGAGCCCGTCTCCTAACAGGTTTGATTTCGCAATGAAAACGGTGTTTCCCTTTGCCTGCGCTTGCTGGAGGAAGCGGGGAGAGACCACGCTTGTGCGATTGAGAATCGGGTCAGGAGGAGGGAAGATGAGGGCAGCAGCCTCTTGTGCGGTGTCTCCAGCCGTCGGCAGGCTCGGCCCCGCGCCGGCACCAGCGCTCGCCTCGTAGAGGCTGCAGACCCGAGGCCCCGGGGGCTTCCGTGCCTCCCCCCCCCCCCCCGGAATTACAGTGCAGGCCCAGGAGGATGAGGAGGATGAGGCCCGTCACCCTGCAGCGCTCTGAAAATAAGGAGCCCCAAATCCGGCAATGACAGTTGTGGGATGGGGGAAGAGGCCCCCGGAGCTCAAAGGAACGCCGAGCTGAGCCAGGGCGACTGCAAAGCTGCTCTCCTCAACTCGGAGCGCGAAGGGAGACCCACACCCGGTAGGCCCGCAGCGCTTCGGAGCGGGGCGGCGGCGGGGGGTGCCCGGGCCAAGGAGGCAGGGGTGGAGGCGGTTTTCAGCGGTGGAGGATTAGGCGAAGACAAAAGGCGCGCGTGCACAGGTTGCTGCTTTGGCTAAAGCTCCATCCGACCAACAAAACCGGGGAAAAAAAGCTTAATTCCTCTTTTTTTTTTTTTTAATATTAAATCTTTATTATATACAAAAATATTCTGTTGGGAATCAGGAGAATTTCACAATTTGTACATCAACATTGTTATGTTTGGCTGTGTTTACTGTGAAAATACTAGCTGCTAAAAAGACAAGGGGGGGTTTAGAAAACGAGTCACAATTTGAAAATGTCCTAGGGATTGGCTGACTTTCTAAGCACGAAGTCAGAACGCTAACGCATCCCCTCTCCTGGGCCTGCTCTACGGTGTTGTTGTCAAACCACAATTAGGTACTAAATCCTCTTCAGGCTTACATTGGCAAGTTTAGCTAATAGTTACGATTTTTTTTTTTTGTACAATGTTTTCAGCCAGAGTATATTTTCTTTACAGGGGAGCAGTTTTTAAAGTTTTTACAAATGCCGAATCCAGTTTAATATGCTGTAGAACTAACAAAACAAAACAAAACAAACAAAACAACGTGAGAACTTCCAACAGGCAAAAACAGTTGTGAGGAGAAGCAAGGTAGGGAAATGCAAAGTGACAGACCTCTAATACACGTCTAAATCCAAACACTTAAGCAGGATTTTACAGTTCTTAACCCGGTTTGGGGGGGGAGAGCAGCAAACTTTTCTCATATTTTAAAGCCTAAGGAAGCGATCGCCCTTCTTACAGAGGCAATAGATGAGGAGGGCGTGAGGGAGGGGAAGGAATGCTCAATGTGCATTTTCAGAGGGGAGAAAATACATTTCAACAGTTATCTCCATACGTAACGTGTGCGGAGACCTACACCGACAAAAGTCAAAAAAATACATTTTTTTTTTTGCAGTCAACAATTTTGCTGCCACCCCCAGAACTGCCCAGAGCCGGGCCCTTCCCTCTGCTCTACACGAGGGACCGTGTAAGAGGTCGAGTAACTGAGAAGTTGCTTGGGGTTTTGGAAAAGGTTTTACTGGATTCTAGGTGAACGTTGGCTACTTCCAGAGTGATTCCTGGCTCACTGCGAGGCCAGCCAGCCGTGCGTGGACAGGCACTGGCGTGGAGCTGAGGACGTGAAAAGGATAAAGGGGAGAAAGTGTTTCCAGGGCTGCTGCAGCGCTGTGAGGGTGTGAGCCTGGCAGGCGGGTCAGTAAGTGCCCCCCCGCCAAGCCCTGCCTTGGCGTCCAAAGGAACTCCATACCCCACGCCGAGAAAGGGCTGAAAATACTGAGAACAAAATTCACATTTACTTCAAGTGTAATTTATTCTAGAAAATATAAACCTTGCTGGGAAAAAAAAAAAAAATCTGGTTTTAAACTGCTTAACTGCCTGCCCCAAGCTGGAGTGTGTTTGCAAGCCTGTGCAGGTGCCTTCTGGCTGCAGCGCCAGCATATCAGCCGAAAATTCAGCAGTTTAAAAGGTGACAGTTTGTGGAACAGCATCCCACCACGGGGAGTTCAGGTAAATCAGCAAATACTGTCTGAAGCGTTTGCGGTACTTACGTTCAAGTTTTATTTACGTGTGTGTGTGTGTGTGTGCACACAAGCTCACTTAACACATTTTGGAAGCCAAAGCTGCCTCTGAAAATTACAAGTTTTCTCAATCTAATTTTTGTTTTGCTTTGCTTTTTTTTAAATATCTGTCTTGGGACTAAAACCAGTAAGTTATCCCAGTCTTATAAACATCTGTATTTACTGACCACTAGTTCTTCCACAAGACACAAGTTGAGGATCCCAGACGGTTCCCCTCAGTGAGCTTGTTCAACGTACATGAAGGCGAAGAAGGGTAGGCCAAAAAAAAGAAATGCAGAGATGGGGAAAAAAAAAATAAAAAAAATCAGGCGAGGACTTGGCTTCACCACCTTCAGTAACCAGGGAAAGAGAATGGGAGCCCCTTTAAGGACAGCAATCCTTTCAACAGCCAGAGAGGCTTTGTGTGGAGGGGGTTAAGGCGAGAGGCGAGGAGGCTGCTACTGTATGGGGCCGTTACTGCCCAGACAGGGATCAACTGATCTCCCTGCTTTTGCAGAAGTCGTTTGGCAACAACAAGGGTACTTTAACTCTTCAGACTGTGGGTGCGGGGAGAACCCCCCTGTGCGAAGCCCGGCAGCTGCAGCAGCCCCCCCGCGTCTGTGGTTTGTCTTACAGCTGCACCAGCGGGGCGCAAGGAGCGGCGGGGAACCGAGGGCAGAACAGCCCCTGCCTCTGCGCCCAGCCCGGGGGAAGCAGCGAGGCAGGGCGAGCCCGGGGGCAAAGCGAGGGGTAGGCAGAGAGGAAGGTTGAACTGGTTTGGAGTCACAGTAACGGCTCCTACCTAAAGACAGGCACTGGCCCGCGTCGCCGTGCTCTGCCCGACCCTTCGCCACGGGGCCTTAAGCACAGCAGAGGTGCAGGCGTGGCTCTAAAGGGGACCCAGCCAAAGAGCAAAAAAGTTCCCTATTTCTTATTTGAATCACCCTCTCCAAAGCAGAACGAAACCCCCATGACTTCCTGAGTGCTGAGCTGCAGGCGGTTTGTACAGCAAGTGATTTAGGTATGATCTTAGAAGACGCCATGAGTTAGAGTTGTACAGAGGATGGGGGAAAGGAAGGATCACGTTTTGAGTCTACCCAAGGTGTGACAGTTTATGTAACAAACACAAATTCAGAAGCGACGAGCTGCTCTGCCGTCCAGCTCCACAGAGCTCTGCCCCGACCAAGCTGATCCCAGCACGCGGCACAAGTTCAGGATCCTGCACTGGTTATAAATTTTGATTTCCCTTGCCTGCGTCGGTCTGTGACTCCGCTCCAGTTTTACCTTCATTTTACATTTGCAGAACATTTTGAAAGACCCTTCTAAATCTTCGCGAGATGACGTAGCCCGTTACTATCCCGCAAAACTCTAGCTGACTGCATCTCCTCACGTGATGCAGAACACCAAGTAAACCCGCTGGTGTAACACGTGGAGCCAGGAAGGTAATCACTTGGGTGTGCGTGCACCAAAGTATTTACATTAAAGTTGAGACTGGTGCACACTTAAGGGAATTTTTGGTGCATTTAAGGAAATAACTGAGGGCTATCTTGGCATCCTGACTGTACTGTTACGTGTAACTTCTCATTCACAGGGCAACTACAGTATTTCTTCTATAAGTCTCTATATGTACAGAATTTTACAGCACCTCATGCACTGTCCAAAACAGATAGAAATTACAGATAAATATAGAATTTTTAGATTGAAATATCTGTATATTTAGAAAAATATACATTAGTAAACACAAGAAACCAGGTAGAGAAGTGTACCAGTTCTAAAGTCTCACATGCAGGTACATTTCTGGATTAAGTCATGGTAACTTAGTAATGTGATAGCAGACGTGAGCATTTTTTTTTTTTTACCATCCACATACATACGTAAACACAGACAACTATTTGATAATTTACTTTTCTAAACTACTTAAATATTTATCTTGTGATAGATACACCACTTAAACATTTAGCAGCATCTTCACCTCGCTCAGACACACCTATTGTTATTATTAACAGTGTAAAAAGGTTTCCTCTTAGTGTCTGGAAAATGATTTCGTACAGAATGAGATACATGAAATCCTTGTTACGTTAACTCCTCCAAAACACTTCCAACAGCTGTTGTATGAAATGCTTTCACTTGCTCAAAACCAGCCTTTCCTCGTGTCTTTATCCCCTAATTGCACGAGGTACAGGTCTCTGGCACCTGACCCCGCCAGGCACAGACTCTCACCGCTGTGTCTATGGCTGAAATGGCACCGGCCTTCTAAGAACCTCCAAGAATGCTCTTCGTTAAAAAAAGTAACTGGCATTCTAGTCCTCCTACCAGGTAGTGACAAACTAAGCAGAATATCTGATTTTGCTAAAAAAAAACAAACAAACCAAAACCCACCACCACAAAAAAAAAAAAACAAGACAAACCACAACGAACCTCTCTCCCCTCCCAAGATTACATACTTGCCAATTTGAACTCCCAATTTTCAAGCTTTAACCGACAGCCCCAAGGACTGTGGTGCTGAGGTGTTCCCCCCCCTTACAACCCGCACACTGACAGCCAATTAAAACCCGCAGACACTTTGCTACAATGTTCGTGCGCGACCTAAGGAAGCCACCTTCTCATTGCTTCAGAATTGCCTTTTTCCTTAGCATCTACACTGCCGCCACCCCAGGGCCAGGCCCCGGCCCCGCTGTGCTCACCGCTTGATTTAAAACCACTGTGCGAACCCGCAGCAAGAGCTAGAGCTTCAGGCTCTAGCAGCCACACGGCTATTTGGAAACCGCTGACCGAGGAGGCTCTTCTGACACTATTCTCCCTTGGGATGGCAACAGAGGAGCGGAGAGGTTTTCCTGACTAACCCTTGGTGCCCAGGTTTCACGTGTTTTATTTGGTTAAGTAAATTTATGGGAAAAAAACGCGATGAAACTGAGTGATATTTACAGTATGAAGTACTATGGCGTGGAAACTGAAGGATCTTCCTGTTCCGTTCATTAGGGAAGAGTGAGCTCAGCGCCCAACTTTTGGCATCACAGAGGAATTTCTAACTCACAATGAAAAGGCATCGTATCTGTCCAGACAGCACATCTTATTTACAGTGTGGGTAGGTCTCCTGTTACACAGTACACAAACACAGTTACAGCGCCAACAGCCAATCCTTAAAACAGCCAAGCCGAGCCCTGGCTCTGCCACCACTGCTGCTACATGCAGCCCTCCATCCAGTTCTCAAAGCAGCCTCTGAGCAACAGGATCATGGAACGTGTCTCCTGGGACAGGAAAATGAAAGCCTCACGCTGGTGCCACATTTAAAAGCTCCGCCCAACTTAAACAAAACCAGAGAAAACACATCCTGAAAAGTATAACCATAAAACAAAGTAGTGGTACAAATTTCTCGTGGAGAATTTGAGCTTCCCTCTGCAAGTCTGAAATCGCAGGATTAAAAGCCACAGAGATTTACCTGTGCTGCACACGGGTTCAGCTAACATTTTCCACATACACTGGGATCTCGAGCCCCCCCTGCCCCTTTACCCCCACAACAACCAACTTCACAGGCTCTGTCAAAATCACCTGCAGTACAACGGGTGTTTTAAGGTGTTTTTTTTTTTTTTTCAGACTTACACTTTTCCTCTACTGCATCAGCTCCATTTTTCTTTTACTTGTGCACTTGAAAGTCTTTAAGAGCCCCAGGCAGCAATACCGGTTTACAGTGTCCAAGCTACTTTTCCTTCAGAAATGGTTCTGAAGAAGTTGCCTTTTGATAGCGTTCCATGTCACACTTTGCTGTTGAGAAAGAATTCGGAAGCCCGGTGCCTGTCGCCAGATGGAAGAGAAATTAAACTAACAGGTGACTTCAGTTTAGACACCTAGCCTGGCGAGTGATGGTGAATGCCACTGTATACAGCAGCTGACGTTACAGCACGTGGGCACAAGAAGAGCTAAAGCTGTATTTTCATTTTGTTCTCGTTAAGCAGAAATTTACATCAGCCTCAGTTCTGATCCATGAACTCGAACCTAACACGAATTGTACCAGTGACCCTAAGGGGAGAACTGTCACTAAACAAAAGGAAATATGCTGTGAAACAAAAAAGGTATAAACAACATTGCTTTTTAGCAGTCTGCTTCCAATTCACAAGCTAGCTAATGAAAAACGCAATTAAAAACAATGTAACAAAAAGCACAGAAATTCCATTACATCACACTCAGAAAAATACAGCAGTTGATCACACACAAATATTCAAAAAGATAATATAGAACCCAGCTAAGTATCACAGGAAATTAAGCCACAGATCACTATACAAATATTGAAGTGTCCTAAGAAAAGAAAATGCCTGTTTTGTTTTTGTTTTTTTTTTTTTTAAAAAGCAATGTGTTTTCACAAGTATGAATAAATAGTCCTAAACATTAAGCATCACTCTACAAGGCTCCATGTTATCAGGTTCTCTCTCAGGCTGCTTCCCCATTATCCAGATTGCGCTGAATTCCTTGTGTACCAGCTTCCTAACATCAGCACTTCGACCAGAAGGTTGGCTCCCAAGAGCAGCCTAGTAAGCAGCCTGCAAGGTATTGCTTTATGTTATTTTAAGAGATATGTTTAAGGGAACCTATACAACAGTTGTCTAAATCAAGAGACATCAAGAATCTGTGAAACACCAAGAATGCACCGACATTAAGCTGAAAAAAGCTGGAGCTATGGAGCTGTGTGTTGCTTGCTGCTTTTAATATTTAAAATTCTGCTCCCATGAAATTACTGGTTTTTTTTTAAGGAAGAAAAAAAACCCGAAGAAATTAAGTGTTCTTGCCTAGTAAGAGCTATAGACTTTTGACCGGTTAAACACTGACGTTAACAAGTTTTACAAAAATTGTTTCAAGTATCCTTTTTTTTAATCACAGTGAAAATGTAAGACCAAGACGCAAATGTTGAAGTGAATGACTGAAAGTTTCTTAGATGAAAAAGGCAAAAGTACTAAATCAAAACATACAAAAATGCTTAAACGCATTTCCTTCATGTGATATGAATAGAAAGGTTATCTGTAAAAATTTAGAAAAATTAAAATAAATTACATATTTAAGTACACTTTCCCTTCAACATTTTTATAAAAATTCAGAATAGTGTACTACTTGAATATACACAGAGTAAAAATGCACAGGTGCCGTAGGCTATCGTTGGTATCTACACAACCTCACGTTAGCGTATTTGCTGCAGGTGATTTTATTTGTTACTTAAGCTCCTCTTGAGAAATCTCAGTAGACCCAGCTAATTGGGACCCACTGTGGTTCCAGCCTCAGTCTCTCGATAGCCGCCTGTAGCTTCTCGAAGGCTTTGTCCAGGTTGTCATTTACAATGGTCAGATCAAAATAGTGGTTGTACGCTCTCTGGATCCGTGCACTTTCGTCCACTGTTTTTTTCAAATCAGTGTCCTGTTGAAGAGATTTTAAAGATTACCAAGAACATAACACTTGGCGAATCCTTATAAAGACAGAAGAATCATCCCTTCGTTGCATATACTGCAACTGACTGCTTAAAGCTGTACACTGAATATATTTAAGAAATAATAACAGTTTTCTTTTATAGGAAATCCACACAGAACTTAAGCCAGAATGCACTGAAGGGGCCGAAAACCCCATGAGCTGTGCCAGTAATGTTAAATATGGCAACCAACGTCCGCGAGCCTTGCAATTTTTAAGGAGGTCGGTCGAAGTACAGGAACTTGGGCTTGTACGCACAGCGGGCAGTTAATCATTTTGTATGTGCAAGGGACAATCCAATCAGAATAAGTGTATTTGTGCTCTTTTTTATTTCCACAGAAAGCACTAAAAAATCCAATCATTTCCATCAGTATGGAGTGAAAGACAATGAAAGATACACTGCTAGTACAATAAAGCTCTAGAATACCTTACTGCTTTTAGAGGCGGCATTTCAGCCTTGCTCACCTGACATCAGTTCCTCATTTGTAAACCACCGCTGCATTATTTCAGTTCTGATATGAGCTGCAAAATATGCAGGAAATGTATATTCCTACATTATGAAGCTTTCACTGAGTGCTGCCACTGAGCATTTTTTTATGTTTCATTAGTCCTACATTCTTAGCAAACACCTCTCCACTTTTGCACAAAAGCCATTTTTTCACAGGCAGTTACGAGATTTGTCCCCTTGACAATATTTAATATTTTCAAGTCCTCATACAGTTGTCAATACAAAAGCCAAAATGAAAAAGTAAGTTTGTGAATAGGCTTTCCTTCACAGTAAATGAAGGAAACGAGCAAATATATAACCACAAGAGCCAGAATTTTTGCAATGGAATGGCTTAGGATGCTAGAAATAATGCAGACAGACCCATTAGCAAGCAGAACGTAATACTTCAAATGGCATTTGTTTTCCATTTGTTTAGGAAGTACCAGAATATGAAAAGGGAAATCATAGTCTTTATATACATGTATACAGGTATGATTTACTATCTGTAAAGACATATATATTTTAAATGTAACTATCTTTATTATTCATAAGGACAAGTAAAACAAAGGCAAGGATGTCCCTCAGGGAATCAAATATTAGGAAGTGCAGGAAATTATTTTTTTATTTGTCTAGACAGTTTCAACCTTGCCTTCTTGTATGCACACCACAAAATTCAGGGTTCATTTGGGGCAGGGAGGAGGAAAGGCAGAGCACCCACAGAGATGCCGGAATCTGTGTTAACCAGAACCAATGACTAGGACTGGACAGTCTCCCATGTGGTTAAGGGAATGGGATCTCACAGAGGTTTGAAGAGGAAAGAAAAAAAAAAAAAAAAAAAAAAAAGGCAAAAAATCCCACATTCCTTTAGTAGAGAGTAACCCACCCCCCATTTTATTGCTTTGAACGTCCCATCAGCTTTAGACATGCCATTGCTGCTATAGTGCGGATCGCGGCAGCACTGCTGTTGTGAGCTGTCAGCAAACCCTGGCGTTTCTCAGATGGGGATTTTGCACTGCTGAACACAGAGGACAGTTTTCTGAGCTGCTCAGTCTGGCTCTCCCTGCTTTGGTCCTGCAGCTGGGAAAGTGCATCCCCTTCCAGAACAGTTATAATTCGCTGCAGTGAAGGAATCGCATCTCATTTCCCTCTGCTACACACTGTGTCTCAGAAAAGCAGGGAAGATCTAATGAATAAAACGCGCCACTTTGATTTACACGACAGACCCAAGGAACTTAAGGGGAAGAGAAGCTGTTCAACACTTATTCTGGCAGCTCCCAGCCATCCTCCGTGCAGCACGTGCTGCTGCAGCAGTGGAAATAAGGCCTAGTTACAGTCTGTTGGTTGGACCTTTTTCGGGGTTTGTTGTTTTGTTTTGTTTTTAAAAAAACACAGGCTACAATATCTTTCTTAAGGATTTCAGATTCCATTTTTAAATCACACTTGTAAGACAAACCTGAACAAAACTTTTTAGAGGGAGAGATGGGGAAAGCGAAGGAAAGACATTTACATAAAAGAACAATTCCCACCATCAAATATCTACCGTTTGCTGCAAATAATCAAAAGTGACACTTCCCAAAGAACACATTACAAGTAATTTTTGTAATCAACACTTCTCTGTAAGAGGTCTGTTTTTAAGAAAGAAGCAATCTGCCTTATACATAGTATTTGATTAACTTCTACTAAGTAATCAGCAAAGTCTTGCCTAACTTGTCTTAGAGACATTAATTTCAAACCAAATTCCATCTAAAATGAAAGGTTTAAAAAAAAAAAAAAATCTAAGAACATGCTGTTCAAAGCAAACTAAATACGAAATAATATGCTTACGGTGAGAAGTTTGGTTGTAATTCCAGCATCTACCACAGCCTTGTGCATAGCACGCAAAGTCTCCAACTCTGGAGCAGCAATAAACACTACATAGGGCATAAATTCTGAAGTCCTCAGTATTTTCAGGGCCTGGAAGCAAAGAAAAAGGAAAAAATCCCTAAGTTTGAGAATGCCTTACCACATGTCTATATTACTTAAGGGACACTGCAAAACTAGTCTGTTACAATGGGCAGAAACACGTAAGAGAAGATTCTTATTTCTATTTTAGAAACTCCTACACTGCCTTTTGAAATGGTCAACATCATTCTTTCCTTGGCTAAAAAGATTATTGATTGCTCCGCGAGACTCCTCTTCCGTGCAGAATCTAAGCTGGGTTTTTTCCATCTTTCTAGCTCATTCCAATTAAGTGCCACAAATGCAAGAATCCAGTTGATACTGTAACCTTTAAACCCGGTAAGAAGCCTTCAAATTTAAGGGCATACCTCTTCAGCATTACACTCCTCCACTTGTAGTGTAACATTATAAATGATATACCTGTGGATTCACATCCAAGATGCAGGTCCTTCCCGTCTGAACAACTTCAAGGATGGAATCAATTTTGGTGCCATAAAGATTTCCTTCGTATTCTCCATGCTCTAAATATCTGCCAGCTTTAATATCCGTCTCCATTTCAGCTCGTGACACAAACCTGTATGCTTGCCCATCCTTCTCATCATCCCTTGGCTTTCGAGAAGTAACTAAGCAAAAAATTTAAAAAGTAAATGGAACCTTTTTATATTTGGAATACAAATATGAGACTGGACTGCCTACTAAGCTAGGGAGAATATTATATGTATTAATATACAATTGTTCCATATACAGATTAATTACTCCAGCATAAGTTTCAAAACCGAGCACAGCCCCTCCTGTTCCCTTTATTTCTATTTCCTCTACGTCACTTACCCACCCATTTGCTCCTTTCTCTGTATTACTCCTTCACACCGTATACCATACTCATTCATGTAATCTTTTCAATTATTCACTTAATAAGATAATTATTTAAGTGACTTGGAAATCAAATGTAAGTTTAACTCTCAAATGCCAAACAGACTTCTGAAAATAACTGAGCACACATCAAAATCTGCCCTGCTCCGCAAACCTTAGCACATACGCTGCTCGCTGCATTTGCCCGGTTAATTCAGGGTGGAACTACCTGAGCTAGCTATAGAGTTAGATGAAATATCAGAAGCAGCCCAGCCACTGCAGCAGGATCCAGTGAAGGCCAGCTAGTGCTGCTTCCCAAGACAACTTACCCTTTAAAGCAAGGTAAATTCACTGCAGAGAGATTAAAGCCAATATTTAAATAAAACATTAGCAGCTATCTCGGGTATTGGCTACACTGTGCAGTACAGACATTACTTAAGAAAGTGAAAATAAAATAAAATAAAATAAAATAAAATAAAATAAAATAAAATAAAATAAAATAAAATAAAATAAAATAAAATAAAATAAAATAAAATAAAATAAAATAAAATAAAATAAAATAAAATAAAACAAAATAAAATAAAATAAAACAAAATGAAATTATCAGATTATTACCAACTTTGCTTTCCTATCACCATATTACCTGGCCACTACTTGCATTTAATTAGATTTTAACTCTAGAATATATTAAACATAACCGTGAATGGATCCCTTTGGTAATACTTGTATCACCACTTAGTGCCACTTGGTGTTACAAGTGGAAAGCTATATCCCCCTTCCAGTAATTCCTATCAATTTCATTATTACAGAAAACTCAACTCCCAGGAGAAATGATTTTCTGAAGCTGTTAGCAATAAACATTATTACTAGAACATCTAGTTTTACCCAAGATTCTACAGAAAGATTAAAACTATAATGGTTAACACAATAGCCCCCCCCCCCCCATCCTGTCAGTTTGAAACAAATTTTGGAGAATCAGTTTTAAGTCACCTTCTGGCTGTAAACTGTTAACAGCTATCCACACAGAAGAAAAAACACAGCTCCTTTTGCTGGATTAGAACTCAACAGCCAGGACCTGCTTCTCCCCCTAGCAAAATGGACCTGTTTCAGCCATTTTCCAAAAATAAAATAAAAAAATAAAAAACAAAACCACCCCACACTTCTTCATTTGTGAATAACCTGGAGAATTCTCCTCTAATCAAAGAAAGTGAGGCCAACTAAGATTACCCATTATCCTACTTAAAATCTAAATAGGAAGTAGAGAGGAGATTCTATATACAATAAACTATGTACCGTATGCGCGTGATTAGATTGTCAGTTTGCTAGGTTTGAAAAGTTAATTTTTATGCCTTTGAAGGGTGTTCAAGAATTCCATATAAAAGCATTTTAACACTGTGTTGCATTACTTATATATATTTAAGCACCGACAGTATTTCAGAGAAACCAGTAATTTTTAGGGCTTTTTTTAAAAGGGAATAAAGAATTTTAGAAATAATAAAAAGTTTCTTATTATTTTGCCAATATAAAACAATGAGATTCCCAGGGGAAGGTTTCTTTAAAAGAGTAACACTGAGAAGTCAACCCTGTTACCAGTCACACATGCCCATTCTTTGTGCCCTGGCCACTTTTGGTGTCAGAGATTCAGCAAATGAGAGAAACTGGTTCTCTCATGTTGCACAATTTATCTTTCAGACCTGTCCCTCCTTCCCTATTACCAGATATACTTCTTGCCCACTGAAAACAGAAGGGAATGGACTGTTATTTAAATTCTGAAAAGCGGGTGGCAGGAGGAGAATAATAATGTGGGTAGGGTGGACTTCCCTGGTCAGCAGTCACACCCGAGGGGGCAGTTAAAAAAAATCAAAGACCTTGTGAATCGGCAAAGGAGCTAGCTGGAAGGACGGCAAGAAAACAGTACTTCAGTGAGGGAGGAACTTTTTTTTCTGAAGCTGACAGGGAAGAAAAAAGAAGATCACGGGCTTGAGGCTAGATGTATTAAAACAGATTGTCATAAAACCCTTGGAGATCAAACACACTCCAGTTTTACTGGAAGTCTGTTGCTTTTCCCTACATCTCTAATACCAAAGTAACAATTTCTAATGCCCGGGGTGCTTCTACCAACAGAAAACTAAACATCAGACCTGAGAAACACGGCTGGCTGTTCATTACAGAAGCCTACTAGGAACATCTAGAATCCCCTTGGTAACTGATGGTGACTGACACTGAAGAAACCTAGCAGGCTGAAATACTACTCATACAAAAATTGTTTTCTTGCGGCGTCCGTAACGTTTAACCGCCAGTTACAAATATTTTCACTGATATCATATGTTAGTTCAGTTGTCTGAGACGGAGAAGAACCTTTTATTTTCCCAATCTATACAACTCTTGTGCTCTGACAGAATTACTCCTACCCTGAATCACTGCGATAAACATCAGGTAGTTTCCAGAGAATCAGAGACTCCAAGTATGATATTACAATAGGAATGCTGACAACTTACATGGCACTGTAGTTCCAAACCTAGTAGGATTCAGTACTATAAACCTATTCTTCAAACTTCTTCGCCCTACTCCTTGGGCCCCAATTAAGACCAGTGTTTTCCTCTGAAAAGGAGGCATTTTGGCTACCTCCTCATAGATCTGGATTTCATGACGATCAAATTCTACATTGAGAAATGTACAAAAAGTAGTTAACACACAGTCAGTGCTGTAAGAAAAAAAAAACAAATTAAGCAGTCCTGCTATGTATCAACAGACCACATGTGAATATAAATAGTACTCAAAGGGCATTAAGTCTGATATAAGCTTTCTTGCTTTAAATTGGTATGGGAATAAAATAGCTACCCCTTCACGGACAGCATAAAGTCAGATTATCACCTTTACTTCCAAGGAGAAAATCTGAGATTGATCAACAATTAGCGAGCTTTCACAGAACCACGACGTGGTTGAGGTTGGAAGCTACCTCTGGGGACCATCTGCTCCGACCCCAGTGCCCAAGCAGGGCCGCCTGGAGATGGTTGCTCAGGACCACAGCCAGATGGCTGGTGAATATCTCCAAGGAGGGAGACTCCACTACTTCTCTGTGCAAACTGTGCCAGTGCTCAGTCACCCTCACAGTGGAAAAAGCATTTTCTGATGTTCGGAGGGAACCTCCTGTGTTGCTGGCTTGTTGCCTCTGGTTCTGTCACTGGGGTCCTCCGAAGAGAGCCTGGCTCTGTCCTCTTTGCACCCTCCCTTCAGGTATTTATACACACTGATGACATCCCCCTGGAGCCTTCTCTTCTCTGGACTGAACAGACCCAGCTCTCTCAGCCTCTCCTCACAGGAGAGAAGGCTCCAGTCCCTTCAGCATCTTCATAAGTCCGTGTCTCTTGCACTGAGGAGAGCCCAGTACACTTCAGGGATCACATCCCTCCACCTGCTGGCAACAAAGCTTTCACTTTTTTTTTTCTCTTTTAACACACAGTTCCTCTCTGACTTCCACCTACCAAAAGATGTACTCAGCACCACCATTCCTCCACTGGTCACTATTGATTTTAAACCATAAAATATTTTATAATCAAATTTGATAGACATATTTTACTGAAAATCTTTCAGCTTTGGATACCCTAGATTCCGCAAGTTTAGAAATCTAGAGAAATTTGACTCGTGTAATATTAAGAGATACCTGCATTTCTTGTAGTGAGATACATCATCTTTTTCTTTTTTTTGCTGCTTATTGTTCCGCAGAAAGGCCCTAAAAATAAAAATTGAGACAAACTCATCATTTTTGTTAAAGGTGTGTTTCCAAAGCTAATTTTCAAGAACATATGCAAGTTTACATTACATTTACATTTACAAGGACTATTTTAGAATTTTATATATTCTAGGGCAGGAGATCACATCTATTTCATACACATTAAATGGTACAGTAAGAACCAAACACAGAAAAAAAAAATAATTTTCCTAGAAAACTTTGTAAAAAGCAGCAGAAAAAAACATCAAACTGGTTTAATTTTTTAACTGCAATGCATACTATAAAACCATAATTTTTTAAAAAAGAGATAATTCTCATGCGTCTCCCACCTCATTTAGCTTTTCATCAGCAGGCGGCAAAACTGATTCATGTAGCTATGAAGGCTAGGCATACTGTAGCCTTTGTCCTTCAGTCAAAGACAAAATACAGTAATTACCATTTCGCAATATTCTGTGTATTCTCACACAGCAGTTTTCTAGTATCTATGAAGGCAGGAAAAGCAAAACAAATCAGAGCAAAATCTATTCCTGAAATTCATTAGGTCTCACCTGAGTTGTCCCAGTCCCTCCTAACAAAGGCCTTTCTCTTTTCTTCCAGGAACTGGCTAGGAATAAGCCCTGCACTTCCTCCTTCTTTGACATGACTAGCCTGGGGGAAAAAAAAAAAAAAAAAAAAAAAAAAAAAAAGCATAAATCATAGATAAATTGTGAGAAGCATTTTTCTCATCCACATGGTGTTTACTGACTTTCACACCGCCAGAGTTTCCCAGTGGCGAGCATTGATACATTTACCACCGGGACTTGGAAATTCAAACTCAGATGTGGGTATTAAAATTTTGTGTTACAATAAAAGTGTCTTGCCATTGAGTATTAAAATACAGGAAACTTAAATAAAATAGATTTAAGTTTTGTTACTGGTTCCCACTAAGTTAGTAAGCTCCTATAGCCATAAACCTTTGGCATCAAAATCCTAAATGGAATTCAGTGGCTCCAGACACTGGACTCTCAAGTGACAAAACTCAACACTTCCTAGTACACAGTACACGTATTTTGTATTCTTTAGCTGCTCCAAACAGGTTCCAGTGCAGCTTATTAACTGTTGTTTCACAAACAGTGAATGCCTTCAAGCTTTTTGCACTAAGTAACTACAGATTTAAAATCTTAGAAATGTAAGTATTCCTAGTAATGAAAGTTTGGCTAAGATTCTCTGTAAAATAATTTCATGGCAAGCTCAATTCTCAGCAAGCTTAACACACACAAACACACAGTTACAAGATGCTACACTTCTCCATAACTCTTTGGCCTGTCTCTTGTTAACAGGAACTGTTTGCTTTTCAATTTGTAAGCTTTTACCTAAGACTAACTGATTTTTTACAGTTAGCAAGTTTTCAGTAACAGTCTAGCACTTCTGGACAGGACAAGGAAAAACTAACTTCCTTCCCCAGTGGCATGATCAGCATAGGAATACTTGCAACACGCTACACAGGTTTAAGGCATTTAATTTTTGCCACTGATTGAGTGTTACAGTTTCATTTCTCCTGGACTCCTACAAGTTACAACTGGAGAATCCAAAAAGCAATACAGAAGACAGCATGTAAGCTAAATGTCAAACTACTCTGGAGTTTTGGAGTGTCTAACTTCTGAAACTAATTAACTTGGCAGTAGTAAATTTTCCCCTCACACTTTTTATTCTCTTTCCTTCTGTTATTAATGTCACTGACAAGGAACAGAATTCAGCAACAGTTGCTGATGTATATTAAAATATTTTTTGTTGCTTTTAAAGAAGTCATATATATATATTGCTCTCAGGTAACGCTTGGCTGACTGTTGCTTGTTATCTAGCAAAGGGTGAGCAATTAAGGGGTAGAAAAGGAAATTACTAGTGCTGAACGCTTTGCCTAGATTGCCACTGCCACTTGCCATTTTGAGTACCTCAGCTGATAAAAGTGTCTTAAAGGTTCACTCATCCCACTTGCAAATGCACTGATGGTGTTTAGTTGTGTGTATAGTGTCGTATTAAAAATAAAACCAGCGTAAGCACCGGACTACAGTTCTACTGAAGGACTGAATGTAGAAATACGACCTTAAAACAGGATGAACTGTTAATATTTGAAATAGTGCCCAACACTTTGATTATAATCATGCATGTTACAGCTCACAGACATTCACCACCACCATAGAAATAAAAGATACAGCTTCTCCAAATAGCTATTCTCACCCCTCTTCAAATCCACAGGGTTAATTTCCCCCTCTCTCCTCAACTCTGAGCTCTCAGGAAGGGGTCCACTTCTTCAACAGCTGCTGTCAGGGAAGGCTTACCACAATTAACACAGTCAACCTAAGACCTTCTGCTAGAAATTGTCCACTTAAACTGATTTTGGAATGTCTAGGCTTATGATACAGAACAAAAAGACAAATACATAGCAGTAATAGCAAAATGAGTGTTATATATACAATTTATACCATTCAATTTTCTCCAGTATTTCAACTGTCACTATCTTGATATTAGCTTGAAATTAGATTGCAAATATTTTTTCTTGTATCTACTCTTAAATGGAAGTAGATGATAATTTAAAGAGTTTATTATTAAGACAACTAATGAAACCTTTCCATTTTTAATTTTATTTTCCAAATCTTTTTACCAACCTGCCACCAATTTGGATCTTCCCGGTTTACAATCTGAAGAATTTCTCCTTTAGAAAATTTCAAACCTGCTTCTTTGCATGGGATGAGGTTGTCATTATATGGATTATAATCAAAATGACACTTCACAAAAACCTGAAATGTGTAAAAATTTACAAAGCTTAAACATTATAAAATACATTCTTACTAATTTATTTGTCAAACTGAAGTAATGCCTTTACCTACAGCATAAAAAGTGGTTGCATTTGGCAAGTAAAATACCATCTATGGAAAAAACTGGCATATACCAGCACACAGAGAATAGAATGATCAGCAGTGCAAACCTTGGCTGAAGGAGCTTCATGATAAAAATAAAAAAGCAACCGTTCTGTCTGGACAGTATACTACAGAACACCCATTTTTGTATTTCAGTACATACAACTCAGCATTCTGACTTTAAAATACTTAAAAATATATAAAATTCTCAGAATGTGAGCACTGTATTCAAGGTGTTTGGAATCTTAAGAATTCATTTTGCCATGAAGTCAATCTTTTAAAACAAACAAGATATGTGACTGCTGTAAGGCTCAAATTTGATACAGGGTCAGAAACAGTAATTTGCATCAGCAGATTAGAAACTTTTTTCTACCAGGTTGGGGAGCAAAGGAAGCAGTGCACCTGCCTCAAATACAGCACATTCCCTCAGCATCCACTCAATGTAAGCACAGTCTATTATAGTCACGGGCACTAAGACCCACTACCTGAAGAAGTGTCTTATAAAGGCACTGATTTAGAGCAACCATTTACTTCTGCAGTGGAGAAACAACAGCCCACAGCAACACAAAAGGATAAGGAGCAGCCACCATCTGAGTTCTTACTTAAGTCAGGGAGTTCAAGCTTACCTGTTGAATTCATAAAACAGATTACTTGGACACTGATCATGTTATAAACACATCAAGTTCGCTGCAGTTTAGTGTTATTGTGGTTAGGTCATCAGAAGTCACCAGATGTCAAAGAAACATGCTTTGTATGAAGTATACAAATGTTTATCAGTCATAGCTACTAACTAGACTTTTTTAGGGAGGCCTATTAGGCATGGTATTAACCTAGTGAGTAAACACACTTCTAAAATGTACCTAAAGGCAAATACAGGTATCCACATTTTAGCCTTCCTGCCAGCATTAAATCCACAAAATAATCAAAATATGTCTAATCCAAAACCTTAAAATAATCTTATGTGATAAGTACCAAGCAGAAGTTATTTTGACAGAATTGTTAGAAATGTGCTACTGACCTGTTGAGGAATAACAGTGTCTCTGTAGCTGGGGAGAATCTTCAGAGTGACACTGCCACTAATATTTTTCAGCAGTTCCTGTAATTCTTTTGGGTTGTTTCCAACCTCATGGCCATTCACCTCCTTAATTATGTCACCTACGTGCAGAAGACCTTGCCGATCTATCATTCCACCATGAAGAATTCGTGCTATTACCAGATCATTGTTCTCAACTCTAAACGTAACACCCTGAAAGAGGTATGTGACACCTAGTTTACCATTGTTTCAATTTCAATTTCATTTTACTATTATCTCAAGCAAAAATATACAGATATGGGATAGTCTGTCTACCCAATGAAAACAGACAGTGATAGTTACTACAGAGTAAGAGTTCCTAATACACAGAGATAAGAGTCAGGTGACACAGAAGTGCTTTCAGACAAGGTTTTCACATGACTCAACAACTGCATTTTTCTTGATTGCATGCGATCCTGTCATTTTGTATGAGGACCAAACAAACAGCTGTTGTGTTAGTTATGCTAGCAAGTCATTTGGCCTAGTGACTGCCCATTCACTACCCCATAATTTCTTAAAGAGAACAGGACGGAGAACACACAAGTATCTTCTTGTTTCAACCTCCCAATACTGACCCTATCACCCATTAACTTACACAACATAATAATGGAAATAATTAAAACATAATGCAGGAAATCAGGCACGTGCAAACATTTTTACTCAAACTTTAAAATAAAGTCACAGTCATCTTCAGTTACTTACTAGTGGTTCTCCTGCTCTTTTGTGAATTCCAAGGATACGAATAGCATCTACTGGAACAATCTGGTTGTTCACTGAAGAATTATTGACTTCTGGGCTAGAAGGAGGGGAATCATAACATTTTGAAGCCACAATATCATGTGCTTCCAAGAGTGACTGCAAAGGAACAGAAAAAAACCTTCTTTTAAAATCATGAAATAACCATCTGCAGAAGGATTTAGTGCTGAATAACCACTGAATGTGCCCTTTTGGGACCAGATCATAAAACTCTTACTTCACAATGAATGGAGCAAAAATTGACATACAAGTATTCACACAGACTGATAAGCCTACTGTGTCTTGGCAAACATGCTCTCTTTTGTAAATGCAAATGCTTCTTCTTAAGGAAGAATAGGAGAAATGTAATGAATTTGGGAGGAATATGTGAACAGGCAGGGAAGAAGATGGAAAAAGGAGTACTGAAAATAGTCTTCACCTAATGAGACAGTATCCAAGCAAATGGTTAAAGTAAACAAACAAGCCATTGCAAAAAAATGAAGGTAACTCATCATTAGATACTTCTGTTTAATGTAATAAAATTTTCTTCCACAGTAATTTGTATAATTACAGGTATGCAAGGATTTCTAGCAATCTGCAGAATGAGTGCTTTCTGCTTGCATAAAGACAAGGCAGAATCCTAGCACCAAACGAATCCAAGTTGACAGAATTCGCTTTCTGGAAGACAACAGCTCAGACCTTATAGTTAATGGCGTTTTCACGAATCCATCTACATAAATACAAAGCAAAAGGAGATCCAAATAAATGTAATCATCTTTGGAAAACAATGCAATTTAGACTTGATTTTCTCATAAAAGATATTTTAAGATTTAAAGAAAAAATTAATAAGAATATATACAGGTAAAACAAGATTAAATTTAGGAAATTAGATACTGGAGATTTATGTCTTAAAGAAGAAAAAGTGACACCCTATAGCGACCATCTATGGCAGTTCGAGATAAAGCATCCTATAGTGCAGAGAGTCTCACCGGCAGATACAGAAAGACAAAAAGAAGCAAGTAGAGGAGATGCCTATTAAGCCTCAAACAACCTAGCTTTGTTTGAAACAGTGACCTGATGAGATACGGTCTTAAGTCAGATCACTGACTGGTGTTAAGTAAGTAGCTAAAAAGAGAAGACACCATAGGGGCTATCACTGATAGTGACGTGCACATGTCAGAGGAAGACAGCAAACTCCTAGGAAGCAGAGCAGGTGAGCAGGCAACATTTAAGCAACTTTAACCATTTTGCTATGCAGTTTGCTCCATCCTTCTGTAAGCTACCTCTAGCCTAAAAGTTGTGCAACCGTATTAGTTTAGTGCCACGATCAACATGCAAGCCCTCACAGTGTCACAAACCTAACAGTCATTTTCATCTGCCCATTACACAATGACCCTGCTGATATTTCAACTGGAGGTTAGAAGGGGGTACTAATTCACTCACTCTGCCCCCGCCATTAAGGCTGTAAAGACAGCTGCTTATTGTGGCTGCTCTGATATTGTGGACATAAACCAAATCAAATTAAATAAGAAAAACAATAATTTATTTAAATTAAGCAGCTGTCAGATGGTAGCAAATTCTAATTCTTCGTTATCCAAGACACATCCAATCCAGAAAGCAGGAGAACAGATCTCTCTTTGCCAATGTTTGCAAGCAACACTTTTGGATCTTTCTACATTTCCAAAATGAAACCAACTAGCATCAACTACACATTTTAACACATTAGCACTGACAAAACCGGGCAGATACACCAGTATGGTACTTCCAGTTTCCTCCTTTTGTCACATGCTAGAACAAATCGTTCCCAAACTTTCTGGACACAAACCACTAGATTTCTAATGGAGCCTTACACATAACCATGCTCGTACAGCTCCATGCCCTTAACAGTCATAAAAATTATGGTTTATAATCTGATCCACAGCCAAAAAAAGACTACTAAACTAATAGTCTCAGTCATCCTTTTCAGATTAACATGCTCTATAAGACTCTTCAGTTCTTAAATCCGAACCCATTCCACATTCTGATCTTATTTATTCACTCAAGTTTTATGGATAAGCATGAGTTCTTTCAACTACCACTTAACCATCCCTCAGTCACAAAATCTTTTTCCTGCTATTTACATCACGGCTGAGTCACAGAAGGACTAACAGGGACTGTACACTGCTGCCCACAATTATAAAATGTTTTCTTTTAGAAAAGCAGTTTAGTAGTTTCCTTAAAACAAGCCACAGTTAACTTGCCTCCTTCCCATGCCCAGCTCTCAGTTCTGAAACTCAAGATTTGTATCAGTTTTACAAGACCGTTTCCAACCAGCCAGGTCACGCCATGCAGTCCTGAAGCACACTCAAGCAAAGCCTCCTGGCAGCAGGGGCCGTGTGTCTGTACCCACTGCCGGACGGCGCTCTGACATGTTGTGGTGCTCAGTTACTTTCCTATTTCAGCAATATGGTTGACCGATATGAGAAATACAGTTACATGAACTTCACTTGTTTCTTTCTTATGGTATTGGAAAAAGTGATTTCCTGTGTTCCTGCAACTCCAGAGATACCCTGGAATCTGACCTTTCCCATACTGGTACTGGAACGCTTATAAAACCACTGCCAAAGTCTGCAAAACAACACGGACTGAATAATCAACAGCCATAAAACAGTTCAAAGTTTCCTCCACACAGCATATGTAAACAGGATCCGCCGACTATCCAAGACTGGACAACTGCAGAAAGGTTCTCACAGAAAAAATGGCAATGTTGCCAGAATAAGGCATTTATAAGAACCCTCTGCATATCACAAGAGATATCGTACAATGGACATACAGTCCTCTGGCAGACAGTATGGCCCCTTTGTGCAAGGTACTGTCATAAAGTAACCCATTAACTTAGAACATATTGACTTCTTTACAGTAGTTTTTTGTGGCTGTCCTTATTTGACAGGTAGGAAAAAAAAATTAAAAAAACATAATTCAAAATTCAGTAAACATACATTAAATATCCAAGGCACTCTATAATGCTAAAGCCAAGTTCAAATTCAAAATTTGTTTTTTTCCTAAAAAAATTCTCAGCAATCTACACATTATGAAGCGCTGCCTGTCCTATATGATAACTATTTCCCCAGCTGTGATCCAACAGAACAATTTAATTACAAATTGGGGGCTGGGGTGGGGGGAATACACAAGAGCAGAATAACTCTATGATCCTGAATTCAGGACTCCTTTCCTAACACTTCAGGCCTCAGAAGTACTTAAAGTATTTCTGTTCCTCTTTTATGCACTAAATATGTGCTAGTCTTCTCTGATAACACTGTTAAAATATTAAAACTTAATAAATGGACTATACGCCCCTAATGTACATGTGAAAATAAGACATTTTTTAAAGACTGTTCTGGAAGAGAGAGGAAATCATTTAAGATCTTAGAGAAATCACAGGGGCTGGTAAGGCAGCATGAATACGTGGGAAAAATAACTCTATAAATTAAGATCTGTCTAGGAGGCAACTTAAGATCACTTCTCTAAATGAAACATTTTAAAGACATGATTAGCCATTATAAAGCTAACTATGAGAATAGAATATTGACTGCTTTTCAGATTAAGCATTTTATTGCCAGCAGAATCTACTGTTTAGGATGAATGGCTTGCATAATTCTTGGAAAGGTGAATGTAACTGGACAAGTTCTTCCATAAGCAGCAGAGTGATTCTTCTGCATGTTTAACCACTCCAACAGTGCAATATTTTCAACTCCTCCCTCTTCCTTCAAGGCAACCTCTTTCTAGTCCTCCCTTCTGCTCTCCAGCTACTGTCTGGTAAGACCTGCTATAGCCTTTTCTACACACCAGACCTGCCAGCTGGCTTCTTCAATACATGCTGGTCTGATGGCCAGCCATCGATACTGTGAAACTCATGAAGAACTTAGTACCTTCCACACTTTGACCCTGAAAAGTTCAGTTAAAACTAAAAAGGGTAAAAAGTGGAAGAGAAGAAAAAGAAAGGAACAAAAGGAAAAATGAGAAAAGGGAGGGAACAGAGAGTCAAACAGAATAGTATAACCATACATGCACCTGTACTCCAGAAGCCAGTCCCTCCCCAATGCTCTTCCATACAAATGTGTAAAAGAAATTAAAATCTGTAATTTGGTGTTTTCAGCACGAAATGATACATTCAAATAAGCTATTGCACTGATGACTTGTATACCACATTTGATACTTGTATGCTGAGGTAGGTTACAACTGTAAGATGACGCTGTGATAAAGTGGCACCATTCGTTTGTAAAATACAGAATCAGCCTTTAAAACAGTCACACAATAGCGTCCATGAAACTTTAAAAGAGTCGAGTCAAGGTGGCTTCTTTACGTATTTACTAAACTGGAGAAAGGATGTAAATTACATTTTCTATAATTTTACATTGTATTTTTCCCTTCTTCCTTACAGGTGACTTCCTGCAGAATTTGGAATATGCCTCCTTGCACCAAATGAGGCAGAAAGGATAGCACTTCTTGAGTATTCAGTTAATTTTCAGTTTCCTCTTCAGAGAGACATACAGCCTCCACAAGACTTAGAAAGAACACTGTACCCATATTTCAGTCTGCAAATTGTCCTAGAAGCTTTTCTAGAATGGTCATAACTATGATACCAGTTAAAGAAAAACACTTAATCAAAATAATAATATTTTGGCCTCAGTTGTCTTTGTTGCCTGCTTCCAGAGTGGGAACAGAAGCACAAAATGAAGGGCGGAAAAGTACACCCTAATTTTAGGCTTCAAAACTGAATCACATCAGATCTATTTTTAAAAAGTAAGTAGCTAGCTGCCCTTTGCCTGCATACAGGAGCCAAAACTGCTCATTGTTTCTGCAAATGAGACTGAAGGCCTCACAACAGGCACTTAGAAAATAATAATAATAATAGAAAAAAAAACAGCTGCTTCATTTTTTTTAAATAAACTCTAATTCTGACAGAGTGAAGGATAGGTTAGTTCTCCAGGGCAGCATTTAACTGTCTTAATCATCAAATAGTCTTTTCCTTTCATACCTAATTCTTTCTGTATCATCCAGGTTTTGCAGCAAATGAAGTAGGGAGCTCTAAAAATGGCTTATTTCTCTTACATACCCATGACTCACCCAACAGTATAGTGAAAGCAACGGCATGCAGCCTTGCTCATAGCATGCAATAATCATGACATGAATTTTTAAACTGGGTTCCAAATAAATGGCAACAAATGGCAAACCACTAAGTCTGATGATACTAAACAAATTAAAAGAAGTTTCCATAAAAACTGGAATGATTGGACAAAACAGATCATGGGAAAGCATCAACATGCTTTAATAAAGGGATGTCATGCTTCTCAAATCTAGTGAAGTTCCTTAAAAGAGTCACCAAGCATGGCAACCAGGCAGTTATAGTTGATAATACAGATCAATTTCCAAAAGGCCTTTGATAGACTCCTCTAACAAAGTCTTTTAAAGAAACAAAGTTATGACAGGATAAACAAGGCTCTTGAGTGGATGAAAATACTGGTTAAAAGACAGAAAAATTGAGGCTGGGAATAGAGTATTACTAGTTTTCAAAATTCATGTCACCAGAGGATTTCCCACAGGCATCTGAGCTCAGTTCTACACCTGCAACTACACTGATATGTCAAATAAGTGATCTAGGAAATGGGGGTGGGAAGTGAAATGACAGGGTTTGCTGATACTACTATTCAAACTGATTTTAACCTGCAGGAGCATCTCATGAGCAACAGAGTGAGAACAAGGCAAATGAAATTCCACACTGACTGCAAGGGAAAACACAATCCTAATTTAAGATACTGACAGAATCAGAAGTGCTATCTCAGAGGTGTAAACAGTACAAAACCAAACCAAACCGGCCCAACCCACCTCTATGCTTACTGAGCTGAGAGGTACATCATCTTTACTGAGAGGGTGGTCAAAAACTGGAACAGGCTTCCTAGAGATGCGGTTGATGCCCCAAGTCTGTCAGTGTTGAACAGGCATTTGGACAATGCCTTTAATATGTTTTAATTTTTGGTCAGCCCTGAAATGGTCAGGCAGTTGGACTAGATGATCACTGTAGGCCCCTTCCAACTGAAATCGCCTATTCACCAACTGTTAAATAGGCAAACCAAATGCTATGAATTTTTAGGCAATGAGTAAGGGGTATAATGGAAAATACTACACCACTTCATAAACCCATGCTGCTGTGAATGACTCTTAGAAGCTGTATACAGCTTTGCTTCCCTTCTTTTTATTTATTTGAGACCGACATATACAACGAGGCATCTCAAATCACAAGTAACATGGAAAAGCTGATTAAGAAAAACTGTTCACTTTCTTCCTACACAAGCGCAAGGGGATATTAAGTGACATTGGCAGGAAACAGTCTCAAAAAAACCAGCATAGCCTCCACACTGATGGGGGATGTTGTGAATGCCAGATTTTTACATGGGTTCAAAATACAACTGAACAAACTGATGGAAGAGAACACCACCACAGATGGATCATACTACTTCTCTCTCAGAAGTCTGAGCAACAAATCACTAAATCCTCACAAAACATTTTGGAAAGTTGGCTTGTCCTAGCCTGACAGTCTTCATTAGTTGCCTACTGCTGGGGACAGGGAATGAAAACAGAAGAAATATTTGTTAAACGGACATTTAACGTACAGTTAGGAAGCACTAACAAAAGATCAGAACAAAACTGTAAAGTTAACGTAGCATATATGCAATTTCAAGTCTGTTCCTTATAAATCAAGCAATAAAAATGTACAAGAAACAGCATAACTATTGGTATTTTTGTTCGACAGCTACTTTGGAACTTTTAAGTTGCTTAAGAGTGAACTAATAGAGTAACTGACACCAGCATCATGTTGTGTCTCTCCATAAATATGACCACTGAACAGGAATGAATGCTGGGTTTGCCTTAGGACTGGCTATTTGCCCTAATTAAAATTCTTATTTGATCTCTGCTTCCTACAGGTCATTTCCAGTCTCTACCATAAAGATTCCTTGCCCAGTTGGTCTCTGGTCTTTGCCATGTCTCTCCAGAGATCATCACTACAGTGCCTTTCAAAGACAGTCTACTCCAGAACTTCACTAAAGCCCTTTTCATCTTTTGATTCATCCTCTTTGACTTGGCAGCTTTAGTTTCTCCACCTGTCTAACAGAATGGATCTTTGTTAGGTCTGTCAGTGCACCAGCTGGCCACCAATTCCAATCTTTTTGCATTGGAACTACCACTTCCTCCAAACTCATCCAGTACCAATTTCTGCTAAGGGATCAAAGACTGATCTGCAGGTTTATTCACCAGGAAGTCTCCAAATCATAGTCTTTGATCCCTTAGCTATGATGCCCTTCTGAACAAATAAGAACACAAGCAAAACCAATATCCTGCTCTTCAGAAGTAGCAGAGGAATTGTCTGTCAGCACTCAGAATAGCTACTACCTTAAAAGCTGAGCTCTTAGTGTTCCCTCTTCCAACAGGCCACAACACAGCTTGACAGAATTTCCAGTGTTTATCTGTGTTAAATGGTAATGCACCTCACTGCTATGTTTGTATAAAGTATGACTGAAAATTTAGGAAAAAAAAAATGTAAAAAACACATACACCCCAAAAATGTCTATGACTACCTGTCTGTCAAAAGAAATATATTTATACTGTGGCAAAAGGTTTGCTTGTGTTCTTCTACAGGGTATCTATAGCTAAGTACTAAAGTCAGCGGAAGCCTGACTGGAAAGTCCAAAATCTATCAATGATTTACAAAACCTAATCTTCAAGGTTTAGTACGGAAGCTGGTAATAGAATGGCAGCTACAGAAAAACATGTGCTTTTGACAAGCATATGTCAAAACTTCACTTATGTTAAGTAGAGCAACAGTGAGAGGGATGTAGAGTCTCAACTTAAGCTGCAGTGCAGGTCCCATCATAGGAGAATCATGTTCATTCATTCTGCAGACGGTACATCTTACACGTGAGTACTGAATGCCAACAGCTGAACCAAAATGCAGAATGGTCAGTACCAGGAACTGAGATCACTGCAAATGCTAAGGATGAAGCTTTGAGGGAATTGTTATGGAAACTGTTATCCAGTCATCTAGGAAGTAAATGTTTGTCCCAGATTTATAATAGAAACTCCAGTGGATTTTAATACAATGAGTGAAGGTACTATTGAGGTGACATCAAAGAATAAAATCATGCTTATTCTTAACACCACATGGCTTCTGCTTTACCTTTCATTCAGAGTAAAATCCTACATATTAAAGTCTTCTACAGTTCTGGTTTTGTTTCATTATTCCTAGATCCATATGTAGACACCAATACAATAAGTTGGAAATATACAGTAAAAAGGTGGCACCTGAAAATGAGGCTCCTTGAGTATTCCAACTAATTCTGCAATATTTTCATCTTTATTTACTAAGGGACTGATGTCTTCAAGAATTTCATTCACCAACTCCAGGTTGTTGTCACTGACAGCCTCAAGTTTAGAGTCTTCCAGTCGCTCATGAGCCTGTAAGATTAAATATGAGACTATACTGTAAATAAGTTTTGAGTAGTTCCAATTTATAAACCTTTTAAATAATTTCTTGGTGCAACCTTTAGCAGGAAGGCCAGAAAAATTACATATAGTATCATCTGTATGTTTTATCTTTATAACTGCTGAAGGATTTTGAATGCTTAACTACGTGACCCAACAAACCTTATAAGCAGCACCTGTATGTGCTCATAGATGCTTGTATGTCCGTATTTCCTGTAACCTCTACAGTATATACACCAAACAGTCCTTTCTGAACAGTATAGCGCCTCAGATCTTTTCAGCTTCAGAACCCAGTACAAGTATACCTTCTAGAAGGACAAAAAAGGAACTATGGGATCTGCTTAGAAAAAAATAAAGTCTCCAAGAGAAGCATTTACTCCGTTCTCTTCCCATTTAAACAGCTTCAAACAGCAAATTCTAAAGAAAAGGCAATGGGCACAAACTGAAACACAGGAGGCTCTGTTTAAACATAAGGAAACATTTTTTCCTCTGTGAGGGTGACTGAGCACTGGCACAGTTTGCGCAGAGAAGTAGTGGAGTCTCCCTCCTTGGAGATATTCACCAGCCATCTGGCTGTGGTCCTGAGCAACCATCTCCAGGCGGCCCTGCTTGGGCACTGGGGTCGGAGCAGATGGTCCCCAGAGGTAGCTTCCAACCTCAACCATTCCGTGACAACTTCTCGTCTCTTTCTAAAGCTACTGCTGCAGACATAATCCTTTCCTAAACACTGCAGATATGAAAGGGAGGAGCTTGAGCAGCAAGAGAAATATCTCATAAATCTGAATGCTTCACTTATTTGTTACAGGTCGTGCAGTATTACAAAATTAGGGAATAAGTGGAGGCCAAAAATAACTAAGATTCTCACTGCACTCAATTAAGAGTTATTTACAACACCATAGCAACAAGAAGTTCAAAAAAGAACAATCGCTTTGGCATGAAAAGCACAACAAATAACAGATATATTTGGGAGTCATCTATATAATGCTTCCTGTATATATAATTTGAAGGTATGTGCACACATCTACTTTCTTATTAGTGCTTCAAAACAGATGATAAACTTTTGCTAAAACCAGAAAACTTTGTTTCCTGAAATCATCAAAGTGTTAAATTCTTCTTCATATCTATAAAATGGTATTTCTGCAGGACTGATGATCAAACAGTAGAAAGGCTAACTTAACATAGAGAAAGACATTTCAAACATTCCCCAACACCAACACGCACAAACCAAATGACCATGATTACAAAGTCATAGGAAGCCTGGCACCTACACACATTCTCCCTAATAAAGGAATGCTATTTTGTGCATAATACATACAGTAAACAATATCCTTCTTTTAAAGTTTATTTAAAAACACAAATCTGCTGACTTTTAAACATACTCCAACTACAAAACCTTTATAAGATTAGAGAATATGGGCTGCCTTCTTTCTCACTCATTTTCTTTAAAATACTACCACTAACGCCGGAGTATAATCTAAATACAAATATCCTCACCCTTCACTCCAGAATCAAGGCCATGTATACACTGGGGAACAGAAAGTTTATCAGTCAACAACCTCTGATCCTGTAATATATTGAGGAATAGCAGGACATGGAGTGGTATTAAGAATTTAAAACAAAACAAACAAACAAAAAAGGAATACCTAACATATATTGAAATCTTTTTTTTTAATTTCAGTTCATCATTTTGGAAACAGTGATACTGACTTGAATCTCTTGACTCGTTCAATATTTATCATATTTGACACATGTTCAAATAGTAAGGCTTTTGCCTCCAACAATCTGACACCCTAAATACCGGACTCAATATTTCTGGATTACTCCTAAGATGTTTCCTTCTTCTGGGTAAGGCATTCACCTGGTATGTTGTAGGCTATGCTACAATACTAAAAGCAGTAGTGCGATGGCAGGAAAGAAGATAAAGTTGAGGTTCAAAGGAATAGTTAATAATCCAAAAGAAGAGAATTTTTCATAAAATGGTTCAGCAGCAAAACTGAGTAAAATTCATGCATGCTCCAAATTCAACAACTGTTTTCAAAAAGGCATAACAATTCTAAAGGCTAGTTAGGATTGACTGTAAATCTCAGCACAAGAAACACATGGACCTGTTGGAACAGGTCCAGAGGAGGCCACAACAATGATCAGAGGGATGGAACACCTCTGCTATGAGGACAGGCTGAAAGACCTGGGGTTGTCTGACCTGGAGAAGAGAAGGCTCCGGGGAGACCTTACTGCAGCCTTTCAGTACTTAAAGGGGACAAACTTTTTAGTAGAGCCTGTTGCAACTGGACAGGGGGTAATGGTTTTAAACTAAAGGAAGGTAGATTTAGACTAGATATAAGGAAGAAATTTTGTATGATGAGGGTGGTGAAACACTGGAACAGGTTGTCCAGAGAGGTGGTAGATGCCCCATCCCTGGAAACATTCAAGGTCAGGTTGGACGGGGCTCTAAGCAACCTGATCTATTTGAAGATGTCCCTGCTCACTGCAGGGGGGTTGGACTACATGATCTTTGGAGGCCCCTTCCAACCCAAACTATTCTGTGATTCTGTAAGTGTCAGTAAATGACAGGAAAATACATTTTACAGTGATTACAGTTACGTCCCTTTTCCCCTACTACCTACTGAAGAATGGAAAGGTACATAAAGAACTCTATCTCAAAAAGGATCTGTAATTTCTACACGGTTGCCTTTATTCTACACAGAAAAAGTGTGAAATGAACTTAACACAATTTGAAAAGATTAGTCAAACTTTATGCTGCAAAATATTGTAAACTAGCTTCTATACTTATTGCTCACATTCAGTTTTTTAAGGACTGAAAAGAAAAAGTAAGCTTGTTTGGCTTATGGCACACGCCTGTAAGTTTCTTTTTGTCCTTGCTGGGATACTTTGCATAATGATTAGTCTTAATAGCTGACTAATAAAGGAAAATTAAAAAGATTTTATATTTCTGGCCTGGCCTGAAATGAATGTGCTTAAATAATCTGACCATCTCAGGGTCCTGAGAATTGCCTATTCTGTTAAAACTAGCTCTTCTAATAGAGAAACAAGTTTCACATATCTTTAGAGACAATTGGATATATATGAACGATACGTACTTCATGAAATCTTGTTTTGATCTTGTCCTTATTTAGGCTCTGCTGATTAGGATTGAGTTTTTGGGTTTAATTCCAAAATAATTACAAAATAAAATATGAGTGCAGTTATGCCATATGAACACAATTAAAACCTTTCAGGATTCTAGATCATGCAAGTTTATAGTTAAGAATCTGTTTCCATTACAAGCACTTTTTTGCATCTGCTAGTCATTAAATTCCACATAATTGTAATTGGCCATTAAAGCACAAATTCTTGATAAGAAAAAAACCTGCTTTGCAATGAACATTTTCTTCATGATAAATATTAAATTAAAGATGACCTAAGCAGCAGATACTGAAGTTGGAAACAACTCTAAGTAAGAAAATGCTTTTACTTACTCTAGTAAATTTAGTACACAAATCTCTCCCTCTGCAGTCATCTCACTAGCAGATGAGACACTTCCATTATTTCTAAGTTTATTACTATGCAACGTCTTCCACTTACAACCAATTTTTTGAACAGTTAAACAGAAGTAAATTCTTATGAGAAGTTTTCCTTCCCAGATTTTTATTCTGAACAAAATCCCTGCACAATCATTTAGCTTTACAGAGTAATTCCTGCCTGCCCAGAGGGCACTGCTTTCAGATGTCTATTCATATTAAAGAGACAGCTACATTTAAGTTAACTGCTTTTTCCCCATGAAACGAGATTATTTTTATGAACTAAGATTAAGAAAGAATGTAAGTGCTGTGCAATACTCATTGCATCTCCTACTGCTAAGATCATCTATATTTTAATTACAGAGTCCAAAGATTTTTTTTGTAAATATCACCTTACATATTCATAATTGATTGATAGCATCTATAAATAAAAGATTTTAATAATGCAAGACAAAAAACAAGGATAGCCCATGTCTCAGAGCTGTCAATCAAAGGTCTCTGCATTGCTCTGAGACCCAGGAAAGGGCATGGAGAGAATACTGGGCTGATCAGAAAGTCGTTTTGAGCCAAAGACAAAAGTTGTTTATGCCGTGAGAGAAAGAAGGTTATTGCTCCCACTTTTCATCTTTGGCAAAAATGCTAAAAGTCAGAAGGCATATGGGTTTTGCACACAACAGTGGTCACGAGACTATATTAAAACCAACTGCTTATAATTTCAAGTTTTTTTGACATTTTCCTCATAAATAACGTTACTACATTATTTCTGGAGTGTCTGAATTTTTCTTCTTCCTCTAGAATCTTCCATATAACAATAAATAGGCATGCACAGAAATTACATTACACCAAATCTTCACCTTCAAGAACTTCTTCAAGTCTTTTAATAAGACATACTGTACATAAAAGCCATTGTGAATGCCTCAATCCATACGCTACGTTCACACAATAATTTAAGAGTTAAAATATTTCCAGATTCTTCTCAGAGCAGCAAGTTTAAATACCTTAGCAAGTGATCTTACAATAGGGTTTTCCATAATTCCTTTAAGAAAAATCAGGTCTATTTCTTCAGCTCCTGTCGATGTTGGCAGATCAGTAAGGTTATCCAGGACTTGCTGCATGGCTGCTGACAAAACAAAAACAAAAAGTAAGTACTGACCAAAATAGGTTTGCATAAATAGCATGTAAATACCACAATATTAACTTTAGAGATGTTAAGCAGCCAACTACCTCTACTGAGAGCAAGTGGACAGAACAAAAAAATTACTTTATTTTGTCTATTTGAAAGATGGAAATAAAGGATCTATCCAAATCCACATCACCACAATCAACTTAAATCCAAGCCCAGCACATTCCTTTCAAGATTCACTACTACTTAAAGATTGAAAAAAAACCAAACAAGTATAAACTATGTATAAGGTATGCATAACCTTCCAAATACAATAGAAGCAACTCATTCATAACACTCTTAATCTTTCAGTGGAAATTTTCAGCCCTCATACACCCATCAATTAACTACAGGTTTTATGATGCTTGTATAGGCAGATGTCACAGTTTTTAAAACGAACACATAGTTCCAAAGCAATTTTTTTTCAACTAAAAATTTGCTTCCAAGGCAGCTCTTACCTTGGAGACACTTGTGTCCATCCCCAGCAGTCCTTTACAACCAGGTTTGAATTACCGCTCTCTAGTACTAAGCGCAGATGTTAACACTAACCTGGCACCACAACACATTGCAATGGGAAGCATAATCTACAATGCAAAATATATTGTGCCTGCCCAGTACCCTTGGTGGAGATTTTCCTGGCTATCTACAGACTCACAGAACTGCAGCAACTTGGATAAGAGTGAACAGTGGTGCCCAAGAAAAAGTCAGAAAAATTCCACCATCCCAGCTATCTTGTCTCATGGAGTCACTGAGGTGAGTGATGAGAATTTATTTTATAACTGTGTGCTTTAACCTCCCCTTTTAAGATAAAGTTGAACAACAGATCTTTTATGTTAAACAACAGGTTCAGTATGTTCACATATTACAGAGTTCTTGTGCATTTAGGTGTGTGTGCAGCAGCCCTCAGCTGGGAATGTATCAACTAACCCCAAGCTTGCAGAGATGAACATGTGCCAGTTTAGGCTGAGCACAAAAGGGGGCACCACTGGAGACAGTTATGATGGCCATCACAAGGTAAATGGTCATTATTTCCCAGTATTCCAACATATGACTAAATATTCTTATCTTGTACTATCATCTTAGTAGTGAATAAGCTATGCTGTTCTTAACTGTATTCTTTTAAACTGCTAATGAGTTGTATGTTCATGCTCAGACACACACATACACAGGTATAGTAAAAAAAAAAATTTAAAGAATCTTTTGTCAAGATCCCCAACAAGCTAAAAATCATTAGAACAACCACTGTGTACTACAATGCTCCACATGTTACACAGCAGCATATATCAAGAGAATTAGAAAGCCTATATGCCCCTTCTCCCACACAGAAATCTACCCTTAACTTTCCTCATTGCACTATAATGACGGCTATTATGAAACACTGCACAGTACCAAAACAAACAGCATTTCTCAACACCTACTTTCTAATTTCAATTCTTCCTAGGAAATTCCATCCCAAGAAAAAATTCTCTGGCCATTCTTTCTGTCAAGTGGAACTGACTTTTCAACAATAAAATCATCCTGTGTGCCACATTTTAACTACAGCTGTGTAAGTCAAAAGACTGCATTTTAAAAAAAATATGTTTTTACCATACTTCTCGCTTTCAAAAAGTGAATCTTCTGTGAAACCATGAGTAGGAGGGAAAATGACACTTACTTTATGCTTTCAGATTTTGAAGCAATATTATTGCTACTTTATAATAGACAAAGTGCTGTTAGCAATCACACATTATGTAAAGTCACCAAATCAACCTGTAAATAGTCCACATCCTCCTCAGACTAGGTATGTCCTATATCTTGACTAGTTCAGATGCAGATGCAACTGCCTTGTTTCACGTTTTCTCAATTCCCAGTTATAGATTCATGATTCTTAATGCAGTCATGCAAGCTGTAGTATTTGCAGAAGCAGACAGACATTTCTAGCCCATTTACGTAGTGTACTAGGTGCTGCATAAATAGTGCAAGTGTTATAAGCTTTCTTTACATTTTTAACAGTTATGTAAATTATTTTTAAGGGACTTCACCTTAGTGCTTTTGTTCTTATAAACAATCTGAGTAAAAATACAAATCTTCCTTCAGGTCAAAGCATGCATCTTAACTGCCAGTTGCAATTCCAGCACTTGATGCTGACAGAGGCGTGCATAATAAATACACTCCTTATGTATCTCCATGTTAATAAGCTGCTTCTTATGTAAGCCTTTCAGAATTCTGCCTATCTTAGATTGATCAAATTAAAAAATAAAATCCCTACATAAAAACTTTATCACCAAGGAGAAACTGTTAAGAGCAACATTAAGCTTCACAAGAATGACTTCCAAGCCTTGTGCAGCTATACAGGGTATTTTCAAATGAGCATTTTGTTTAATAAAGGTTTCAGAAATTCTAGCATCAAAACTGCTTAAGTATATTTTAGCATTCTTGGAAAGCAGCAAACACCTTTATCAACATGCAGAGTTCAAAAAATTCACTAGGGCAGACTTGCATCCCAGGTGATCAAAGCCAGCTGTTTTCAGAAATAGCTTTCTATTGCTGTGCATCTGATGGTTGCTTCTCTCATGGCACACCCACCACGGCAAGAGTTTTCTTAGCTATAAATAGTGTTGCCTCAATATTAGAAAGAAAAGCAAAAAGGCAGGCCTATGTAAGTTGCGATAAGACACCTTTACCCACCCTGGATTATCTATGTTTGAACACAGTATGGGTGTCTATATTGCCTCAGTGTAGTTAGTTCCCCACCTTAAAGGGAAGATCTTTCTAAGTAGTTGAATAAAAAATAATACTGTTAAGTACCCCTTTATTTTGACCAGCTACAAGGTTACACAAAAATTTTTCAGCACAAGAGAAAGCTTTAAGAAGCTTCAACAAAGTCTTTGCACCTGTTGCCCAGTTCATGGTAAATAGAAACCAGAGCAACATTCATATGCTTCAGAATGTTTCACTGCTTTACATTCACCTGGCGAAAACCACAACCAAATGTTATTTTCCAAAAAATGGTCAAGAGCATTTTCCAACAGGAATTATGTCAGCTGATTTATTTAAAAAGAATAGACAACAATACATGGGTACTTCCTGTGACAGACTAAACTAAGCACTTTAATTTCAGTGTTTTACATTTAATATGCAAGTCATGGGCCAGCTTCAAACATAGTTCCCATTTAATGTGAAATGCTAGCATTTGCTCACATGTGAAAATAGCTCTGAAAGTCTCAGCAACATATTAACCTACAAACACCTCAGACATTCATATGCGTACTTTCAAACAATCTGAATTACCCAAAGACAATTGGGTGGGGGGGGTGAGGAAGGGGAAAGAGGAAGGGAAGACAATTTAGTAAACGTATTATAGATCCTCTTTTTGTGTAACAATTCAACGGGCTTTTGTTTATTCTAGGGGAAAAAAATCTTATTAAAATAAAACCAGCAGGAGATGTATTGTTTCCTGGCTTAATTATAATGATCTTTCAGAATAATGTAGATACACATCGAATTTCAAGTAGCAATCTTTAAAACAATTTCATTTTTCTCTTTCCTGAGGCAAAGCCACCTTAGCTCTTTTCTAAAAGTATCTTAGCTTTAAGCAGCAGGAATGAAAGCTGAAGATGTAAGTAGATGTCACGTAAGAAAATTTTACTTAAAAGATCAGGTTCTATCATGTAAGAAACAGATGGAGCTAAGGAGTTTAGAGACTACCAAATCTAAATACCCAATCAAAAATTGCCTTTTGAGCCTCCCATCTCTTCTCTGGCAAATCTGCCCTTGAAATGCTGGTAGAGGTTACTTGCTGGGGGAAGAAAAAAAAAAAAACAAACACAAAAAAAAACCCCACACCACACAAAAACCAAACCCACACTGTAGAACTTAAATGTAAGTCGTGAATACAAGAACCAAGGACTACAGTGAACAAACTGCAGAAACCAGGTTGCCAGGAGCGCTCCTTATTGTTGAATACTTTGGTATCCAATAAAAAGCAAATGTGTGCTTTTTCCTTCAGTGGAAAATTAATTGGGTCTCCCTTGCCCCTCTCATCCCATCTTTTAGACAAAACTGGTAAGAACATACCAACTTTGAAAGCTCTATCATGCACTTCCTCTCTTTGAAGACAAGCCTCTTCCTATATTCAAAGACCCATCTGGGTAAAATTTTAAATTCTCGTAATAACACAAAAGGAGTTGCATTTGAGAGTAGAGCGAGAAATAGGCATGGCTGACTACAATGATTAACAAAACCATCTGGGAAGATGCACTTTACTAGAAACACACATTGACAACAGCCTCCAGACAGAACAGGAGGAACCGAGCAGCAGAAACAGGCTCTCAGTTGAGGAAAGGTGGTGAAATAAAGGGATTCTTAGGAAAAAGTGACAACAGAACTGAGTCTGAGCTGGGACTCCTAAGAGAAAATGAGATTACAATGGGCCATCCTGCACTCCAGCCCCTGGCTTTTGTAGCAGAGAACATACACACAATTACAATTAATTTCCACAGTCAATTTTCAAAGAACATCTCCATAACCATATAAAGTTTAAAGCCTCAAGCAAGACTCAGCAGGAGCATACTGGTCTGCTGTGTACATGCCCTGAACAATTTAATCCCACTACGCATATGACGCTATACTCAGAGAAACTAGTTTGTCATTTGAACCCCATATCAAGAAGGGCGAGGACAGGAAAGGCATGTTAATTGATCTCCGTGGCAGACAGCATGCATCCTGAGGCGTAAGAATACAAAAATCCCACTTTCTAATGCAAAATTTACAATCAGAATTAACTCCTCCTAATTCACATAAAGGTCTTCAGACAACCAAAGGATGCTTCAAAAGTTTAATCTACATACTTTACCTTACAATAGTAAATTTAGATCAAATGGAAGCAAAAGATACTATGATAGCTCTTCTCTCGTATTTGTAAGAAAAAGGTTTTCACCAAGCTCTAAACTGTGACTCTCCTATCAAGTTTGTTT